CCTGAATAATAGAAACACAAACTCCCTTGTATTTCCTTAAAAGTTTATTTTTTCCTTCCATTATAGAAAATAAACTATTAATTAAACTTATCAAAGTAAACTGTTTTTATAAATATCAATGTTAGTTTATTATCTGGGTGCTAATTAGTTAGTTTGTATTATCTATTTAATTCTGAGATTAAATTACTAATTTCAATTTGATAAGTACACAAAAGCTATTATACGTTTAGAAAACTATTATCATTAATGTTCATTAACATATCAATCACATGATACTCTATAACAGCGTTTCTCAACATTTTAGCGGCAAGACCCAACATTTGCACAAATTGCTAAGTAGTATTTCACCAGTTCCTTACTTTGACATAAGTTAAAGCATTTGGGTTGTTGAGTTGAGAAACAGTGTTCAATAGAAGAAGAAATATTTAAATAAGCTCAAAATTTGTTCAAAGTAAAAATTAACAAACTTTTTTCATTCAGATGAATTCATTTACACCAATTTGGAATAGAATTGTTTGTAAATTTTTCGAAAGAAGTATAATTTCTGAAAAGTTATAGAAGTTTAGAAATGCAAGATACTCCATCAAATTAAGATTTATATATTTATATCTGACATAGTTTTTATGTTAATAATGAATATGAACATGTTAATAGTACATTTTAAAATATGAAAAAAATCTACATTTTTTTTATTATTAATATAAATTTTGAAACCATTTTCCTGAAAATAGGACGAACAAATAAATATACAAAATAAAACAGAATTTTCACTATTTTGTTTTCTAAATATGCATAGTTTGTAAGAGATATTTACTATAATAAATAATTTATAACATTCCGAAATATTATTTTTATAAAAATTATAAACATTCTACATCTCATAGTAAAGTAATACAAGATTTAAACGTTCTCAATTTATATTTCCTTATAAGCAATTCGATATGAACATATTTTTTTGTTACTGACATTCTCTATATTTTATATCCATATAAGTCGTTTGATATCAACGCATTTTAAGTGGTTTTAGAGAAAAAAACTAATAGAAATGAACTGTATTTTTATATTGACTTTACTTTTTATATAATATATATGTTTCTTTGTATAATTCTTCGCAGCGATTTATTGGAACTGATTCGAGGAAGCATTGAACGTTCTAATCAATAATATCAGTAACTGTAATAGGAAATAACAGTTTATTTCAACCACGGTTGAATTTCTTCAAATATCTAGTAAATTACTCTTTTTGTTGTCTCAATGCTTCATTATAAATAATACCACTATAAACTATAATCACTTGTGAATGTTAAAGATTTTTTCCATGAACTATAAGAAAAATAATGCCATTAAACTCAAATATTTAATATATATAAAAACTCAAATCCTTCCAATAAGTTATATTTTGTAAAGCTAAAACTTGTATTTAGTTCAGTGACTTATTTCAATCATTACTTTTAACTTGCAATTTCCAACTTCATAATTATTTTTTTTATATAAGTTTATGTGTAAAATAATACCAAATAGAATTTGCACTTTCAATATTCATGAACTCACATTATATTGATAACTGTTTATTAGATTTTTTATGATTATTAGCTTTTCCCATTTACGTTCTATTTATAAACTGTGTGAGAAACGTATATATTTTTAATTCGATCGAGGTGTTTATGAATGTTTTATTTTCATTTTCGTAGCTGCAGTTGCTTTGATTCTAATTTTAGATCGTGAACATTCATACACTAGAATTAATAAAATGTGTAATTAATAAAATGTGTTCTCAACTTGAAAATGGAATCAAGTGATAAAATCATAAACTTTATAAAGTGTTTCAGAATTTTGTTTCGTCTGTAGTTTTTGGACGAAACATTTCATATTATTTTTTTCGCGCTACATTTTTGGTCCAGTTCTAAATTTAAAGCTAACGATCACGATGTTTGTAGGACTTCGAACGCATTTATTTATATTTTCTCATTCATGAAATGCGCGCTACGTTCATAATACTTTATTCATGAATACTATAAACTGCAAAGGCGGCCACGTAAACATTTCACAGTTCATCTGTTCTCTTCATTTTGTTTTTTTTTTGTAATTTAACTGTTATTTTCAGTAGTCTGTTTTCATTGACATAGTTTCGCTTAAACATCAACATTTTTTCCTGAATATAGTTCAAAATTTGTTTTTTTAATTAATTTTATTTTGCTGCAATTCGACAAAGTTTGTAAGTTGAAAAAAAAATAATGTCAAAAAGTAAAAATTATTAACTTCTCAATAGAAACTGATTATGTCAAATAAATAACATTTGGTACTTGTCTACAATTAATAAGAATTAAAGATTTATTAAGATGTATTCATAATAAGAAAAGTTTTAATACAAAAACTTTCTTTAGTTATTTTATTACGTAAAGTTGGTATTTTCCTTGTCACAAAATATAGATTGGCAATAAAAAATAATTGACATGACCTTGTCAACTAATCAAGTTGGCAATAAAGAAAATAATAATCTACTCCTTTTTTTATAGTAAATTCTAATAGTTGACCTGCGTCTACTCAATTTTTAAGGATGATTCATGGAACGGAATTAGTCCAGTTTCCATTGTTCCAGTTTCCATCATTCGTACAGGATTCTTTTGTGCTTCTTTCTTCCATAGCTGCGCTCACGCTGCTTTCTGTTGCGCGCTTTGAATGATCGTGAAACGTTTTCATCTCATGCAAAAAATTACACAATACATCTCTCTGTACAACTGATGATTATTTACGGTCGGTCACGAAGTTCACAGCTTAATTTTAGTTTTGGAATTTGTATTTGTTTTGAAGTCGTTTATCGTTGTTTATGCACATCAATTGAATGCAATTATTATCAGGATGTCAATTTCATTTCTATTTCAAGACCAGACAAGATTTATGTTCGAATTTTTATACTAACAAAGCGGTAATTTCGTTATGTTATTGAAGAGTTTCGAGCAAAAAAATGTTTTATTAAAGGTTGATAAAAAATAAACATTTGGATAAAACCACCTATTTTTATCCAAATGTTTATTTTGTGATAACTTTGTCTCTACATGATAACAACGTTCGTATCGCATCGTGAAAATTACACAAGTCTTCACTATGAAGTCAGTATATTTCATGAATTAATTATATAAAAAAATATAAATTCTTTAGTAGTTAGTAACATGATAAAAAAGTTAATTAAACGAGATATTTTCAATGATGACCGCATTTTTAAATGAAAATTGTTTCTGCGAAAAATAAGAACTATATTTAACTAACACGCATTTTGTTATTAACGTGTTTAATTTTATTATTAGACATTAAGTAAGTATTATAAATTTTGGTAATTTAGTAGTTAAATATGCATGGTATACCCCAAGGAAACATACTTTGACTTATACTACATCTTGTATTTCTTAAAATACCTAAAATCTAATTAATCTTATACTAAAAAGTGTTAAATTTCGAAAAAAAACTTTCAAATTTATAAAATTTGTAATATGTTCCCAATAGTATATTCAAATTGCAAAGAGAAGAATTAAGTCAATTTCATCAAATTGTACTTTCTTTCTATCAACTAAAAAAGAAAATGTATTTGGTAAACAAACCTCTATATTATATTACAAAAAAAATGCAATTGTCCTTGAAATTTGACAGTTCTTTAGACTTGACAGATTAATTTGTCAAATGACGTAAATGGATTGAAAAAGATAATTATAAATATCTTTTTTTATTAATGTCATAATTATAGATTTTTCGTAATTTGTGAAACAGTGTTTATAGAATACAAAATTAATTACATGTAATTGCATAATGATGATTATGTACTATACATTTCAATACAAAAATGTATTGAAAATAATGTAATTAAAGTAAACGCTGGTTAACCCATAGGTTGACAGATGACAGTTTACAATAGTTAAGCAATATTTCTGACAGGTATAAATTGGATGATACGTATAATTTAAGAGGTAAAGACAAAATAGTAAACAATTTGCTAGAGAAACTAATATTGTTGATTACTAATTCTCTACAAACTTCAACATCATATTACAAAAAAAAAATGTTATTCATTAAATGTGACAGATTTTTATACATTCAACCATGTTAAAAAACTGGTATAATTGGAAATAATTTATAAAATTCGAATTTAGGTCAATGATGAATTATTTACTATTTCAATATTTAATGATAAACTTTGCAACAGTTTTCATTAAAAACATATTAAAACAGTTATTAAATTCCATTTAGATTTAGTACTTCTAAATTCAGACTTTCAATTGGTTGTTGAGAATTTAATTTATATTTAGAGTGTAAGTGCATTAGATCACAATTTAAATGGATTATTGCCATATAATTAATTCAAACTAAGTTATAAAGCTACGATGCTTCTTAAATATGTTAAGTAATTTTAATAAGGAAGTCATAATTATGTCAACTCTGACACATCCGTGTGGTAAAGTGGGCGATCGATTTTTTGTCACACCTCTTCGATTTCATCTCGCAGATTTCTCTATAGAAACCGCGAATTATTAAAATGAGAATGAAATAATAGAAATTTAAAAATAATTTATAAGTCATAAAACATATTTTATTTTGCAAAAGCAACTGGTTCTGGTTATTCGGTTTTATCATCGAGGAAGTATCCGGCCTTTCCGGAATTTAATATTCACTACTTTATATAACACAACCTGACGCAATACCCATGAGATCACTGAAGAGCCCAGAGCCAATAAAGAATGCAAAGTCGAAGGATACATGAATACACGTGCTAATAAATAATGTAGACGGTGGCGCGAATAGCGAGCAGCAGCATGTATTGATAACACAACGGAAAATATGCTGATAACGAGCGAAATACAAAAATAAATATGAATAATACTGTTCAGAAAATTCGTATTGGGGGAAAAGTTTTTAAAAGGATTTGAATCGCTGCTATGGCAACACTAAGTTCGATCAGAAAACAATCCTGTGAGATGTACAGTTTATGGAAATCCTGAATGAAAACTTACTCGGATTCAGTTGTTTGTCGGATGTGAGGAAGCACTGTTCTTGCACGATGTGTTAAAGCACGAAAATTCGTTGATCCTGGGATCGTTGTTTTCTTATATTTCTGGTTAGATTTAGTGTTATTGGAAGAACGGATTGGGTCGTTGTTGCGTGTACACTATGCAGCTGCTCGAAGCCGACTGAAGTGCGCATCTGTCCAATGCGTCGTTCGCGAATTGTACCAGATCATAGTGGGGCGTAGCTAGGTCATGGGCGGATGCTCCATGACTATGAAGATGATGGTAATCCTAGATCTCAACACCAAATCCGAAGAATATGATGATACATCGCGACTACATTACTTAGTGAAAGTGATCCAATCAACAGCATCATCGACCAACAGGTTTTGGTGATGATCTGGATGGGCGTTGAACCCGCGACAAATCAAAACAATGAGTTCATAGGAAATCTTTACAAGTATGACAAGGATTTAAACAATAGCAAACTCAATCAATCAAATCAATCCTTTGAATGAGTAAATGATGATACAACTATGGCACAGATAGTTTATGTGGTTGTTTTTTTAATTTTCTCTTCTAGTTGGAAATGGGTACAATTTGTGTAAGGGAATATACGAAACGCGTGTAATGTTACTCTAACGGAAACGGATATTCACAGTTCTATGCACCTTTTGTTGCACGTTTTTTTTTGTGGTATCTATTCCGTTCCCTTTTGTTGACCGCTCGCGCGCCAAACTTGATTGAATATTTAGGCGCTCCCATTCCGAGTGCACTGCAACGAATGTAAACACAGAGACTTTCAACTTAGCCTTGCCTTTCACGCGAAAAGCGTTTGATTGATTGACTTAATTGATCATCAAATGCAAACTTAAATAAACTTTAAAGACATTGTTCCATTTTGTTCTTACAGTTCTAAATTAGACATATTGACAATTCGTATTATAGTATTATCTACAAATATTACAATGTGTAAGATATGAAAAATTGACAATATGACAAAGAAATGGGTTGGCCTACTTAAATAATTCATTGAAATCATTTGCTTAACATTCCAATTTTTTATAATAAATTTTCAATATTTTTTAAATTCTTGACAATTTTTTTTAACATTAACTCTTGTTAAAAAAATTGTCAAGAATTTAAAAAATCATTAATTATCAATGATTAATTTGCTTAAAATTTTAAATTTCATCAATATTATGATTGAAGATTAAAATATAATTGTTTTTTTTTATTAGCACAAAGAAATGAATTAAAGTAAATTAAAATCCAGTATTTTTAATAAATATAAATATTTGATATGTGGACTTGAAGCAATTGATTTGAGATGTTATTTGAAAATAAGGAAAATTTGTCAGAAATTGGAGAAATACTTTCAATCAAATGTATAAGTTTTGTTTATAAAATTCGGGACAAATTACCTTCAGAAAATTTATTTATTCATGTATGCAACAAACATTACTTGGTTTATTCGGTTCAGTCTCTTTAATTTTCTTATTAGAATCCAATAGTTTTAATCATATTAGTGCTAATTCATCAATGATTTTAACAAGCTAATTATGTCTTTACAATTAGTTTTAATTGAATGAAATTTATATCATTTTCAAATTCAATTCTTGTAACAAGAAAAATGAATGAATTTATTCTTATTAATGAATACAACAATTTATAGATATTGACTTTTCATATCGTAAAAATACTTACTCAGTCCTTCTGAAGGGGTCAATAAGTTACTATAGGGATAGAAAGGACAACAAAATACGCTGTCAACATAAACATTTGATTTTTTTATATTTTAAGAGAAGTAAATCATTGTTAATGTGTTATTAATGCATTTCTTTTTCATAATAGTTACAATTTCCAATCAAATAGAAATATTATGTCTAGTTTTATTTTTCCGGATATTGATTTGTCAATAAGATGACTAAAAATCAAAGTTTATTGTATCTTCATTACCAAAGTCCTTAATTATAATCAAAATTTGGTGTAAAAATAATAGCTTTCAAATGTAAATTAAGTTGCGAATCAGTGGTTAATTTAACCATTTATGTTTCCATGTACGCCTTTAACTCTTCGCGAGGCCAGAAAATCCTAAATTTCTAGACAACTGAGTGAGACAACTACATCAACTGAATCAACATCGGATGGTATTGCCTATCAAGATTCATCCTTTGACATTTCCTCTTTCCTAGAAAATTATAATAATGCCACAGTAGACATGTTTAAAAGGTGGGACAATGCGTGTCCTTAAAGAGTTAAAATATACTTTTTAACAAAATTGAGGTATTGAAGGATTTAATTCAGTAATATATAAATGTACGTAATAAAGGACAACCATAGAGTCTATAATAATATATTTTTAGAATGCGATTGTATATATTTGCTATAGAAAAAAAATGGACAGATCGTAAAAAATTAAAAAAAAAAGAGGGAATATACAACTGCATACAAAATATATTACATGATGAATAACAACGTAAAAAAAGGCATTTAAAAAAAATTAAATAACAAAAAAAAATAAATTAGCTATTTACATGCGAATTTTAATCAAAATCCATTACATACCAAGAATAATATTAATATATTCACATCCAGTAACAATTTACTCCGTGTGTACACATTGTTTATTTTCATTTTTTTTTAAGATTTTTATATATATATATATTTATAAGTATTATAATATAACAGCAGGTATTACCTTATTTTCTCCTCATTGTTTTTCGTTTCTGGTTTGTTTTAAAAGCGCGGATTAATTAAAAAAAAAGAATTATTATTACATATATCTCTGTAAAGATTGGTACATAAATATACTTTTCAAGATATAAATCACAAGAATAACTTAGTTTGTATTAATTACTTAATAAATATTAGTACAGCTGCATAAATATACAAGTAATATTACGTTTTGTTTTACCGTCCTGCAGTCATCTAAAATAACAATATATGACACAACAACTGCAAACGTATTCATCTGTGTGTTTTTTTTTACGTTTTTCTTTTTCAAATATTTTTTTTTATCAATTATAACTAGATCAAAGTTACAGTACATGTGAAATTTCCTTATCTATTGTTGCAAAGTTATCGTAAAGGCGATGACGATATAGAACTCATACTAGTTAAGGGAGTATTGGAAATGCCTAGGTTCAGCTTCTCTAGTTCCTCATCTACCTGATTGCTGCGCAACTCTTGGGTCGTATACAAGAACTTGTTCCACTCGTCGTGTCTCGGATGCGCAAAGTTCTGAAATCACAAATTACAATCCATGAAATACTAGTTATTACTTAATGCTAGTTAAATATGAGTGTTATGATTGGTATTCGAAGTTCTAATCATTAATAAATAATGCTAGTTGGTTATTAACTATAAGGATAAAAGTAATGTACCTTAAATTATCTTTGGGATTACGTTAAAACTACCGATAAATGATATAAATGCTTTTGAAAACATACCTCAGCAACATCGTACACCCAAATCTTTCCTGTATTATCACCGACTGTAACATGTAGACCAGAGGGAGTCCAAGACACCCTGTTTAGAGCCGGATTTCCATCAACGGTCAATCCGGCTGCAGGAACTTCAGTGTCCTGATTTAGATTCCACAGATCCAAACGGCCACCACCATCGACGGCGGCAAACAGAGCCGGATGAGTAGGGGACCAGGCGACATCCAACACGTAGTCACCGTTATCCTCGAACGTGTAGATTGGCTTGGTGTCCTTCAAACTCCACAGCTTGATGGTCCAATCGATGGAGGACGTCAGGAACATATGCGAGAAGTCTATACCTCCCTGAACAGCGTTAACGCTGATACCGGTGATGGGACCCTGATGACCATCGTAAGTATCGGTGACGCCCACCTTGGCGCCGTGACGACATGCGGAGAAGGCTGCACCTTCCTCGCTGCCGACCACGAAGTTATTTACATCGGAATGTGGGAAATCTAAACAGGTGACAGCCACAGATCTGGACTGACTGCGCTGCAGCTCCATCGTCTCCTGCGGCTGACTCAACATCTCCAACGACCACGAACAAAGACGTCCGTCCGTCGATATGCTGATCAGATTGTGCGCATTTTGCGTACCAACAACATGCATGCAATACACAGGATGCTGGAAACAAAAGAATCTTAGTAAATGATATTAAGTCAATAAACAACAAGATTACTGTATGTGCAGATGCCGACAACGGGGTCCTCTGGATAGGAGTCCTTTTTTGGACCCTGTTGTCCCAGAGGACGATCTGTCCGGAGTACGTGCCACCGAGCACAAGATTCGGATGGAACCGTGCGAACTTCGCGTTCATCACGGGGCTCTGGCAATGGAAAACGTACTCGGGCGTGGTCTTCTTGTATTTCGTGTTCCAGATGAGGGCCACACCGTCCGGATCGTTGGGGGATTCGTCGTTGTTGTTGTAGGAGCTGAGCAACAGCTCCGGATATTGTAGCGACCAATCCAATGAAGTTACGCAACGGTTCTTCGACCATCTCTCGTCGTAGAACCAACGATTGAAGGAAATTCGTTGATGTGATTTTTCGTCTCTGCAAAATTAATAGAAATCACAATTAGAAATTACACATTCCTACTTTTTTATAATTAAAATAAAAACTGTTATATTGATAAAAAAAAAATGTTAGAAAATGTTAATTGTAATAAAATTATATTACTGAATGAATCAAACTTAAATATTGCAATTCCTAACTTTATAAATATTATTTAATTTATAAAGTAGAGCTGCTTTTATGTATTTATCGAAAGTTATATTATTTATATCAAAACGCCTACGCTTATTTGATACGACTAGAAAACACGCAAAATAGATAATAATCCTTTAAGTTTATCTTTGTGCTATTGTGAAGGATGACTTACAATCCTTCGTCTCCTCCCAATCCACTATAATCTGCATAAATATCCACGGTTTCTCCTAAGGCCCTTTCCATGACCCGCCCGGCCCTGTCCACGAACCTTTGGAAGTCCTCCGAAAGGATGATCATCTGCTTCTCCTCCTCGCTCAACTCGCGTACTAAGAGATAACCAAAGATGTTACTACCAAAGAAGCCTCATTGTTTTTGGAGTTAGCATACCTTCTTTGACCTCCTGCTTTGCCTGCTCCTGCTCGACGGCAGTGACGGCCGGCTGGACCTCCTTGACCTGGGGCAGCCCATGAGGAAGGATACCAGGGGGAAGCTTGCTGCCGAAACCACCAAGATGCGGAAGGCTGCTCTCCTCATCTTCACCTTGCGGGTCGTCATACGTCAAAACTGTGGTGAATAAGCTGTCCGCTCTATCGTCACACGCAACATTCACAACCTCTCGCAACAACAACTCACACGAACAACCAATAACAATCTACGTACACACCCACATACGCATTTCCAATAATAATTTTCCAACAGAAAACCGATGAACACAATTCGACTTCCCTGTCTTTGAATCCAAAATCCCCTGAAGTCGAATTATGCTCTACTTGATTTTGAACATTTTAAAACTAAACGAATAATCACAGAGTGCTTAATAACAAGTGATAAATTGTAATAAAAGGATAATTTAAAAATGAAAATGGAGGGGAAGTGTAGAGAATGACTTCCAAAATAATAAAATGCAAAATAAGCGGAACATGCAATCTTTTTTGGTCTTTAGAATAACAAAATAAAGTCGTAATAATTAATCATATTTTTTTTAAATCCATTCGCGCATCACATTCATAAACCTTTACCAGTTCTAATTAGTTACCAAGGGCATGCAGTTAGACCTGAATCCAAACTCTACGAGTGAATGAAGCGTTAAACATTAGCTTTCAGCGACGATCAAAATCTAAATTACCTATCTACAAATTAATAAATGAATTTGTTAAACTAGAATTATCAATTAAAAAAATAAACTCTGGCTTTGTGCAATAAAATCAAAATTTTCAAAAGCGGTACATTTAGTGTGCAGTATATAATTGAATATATTTATAAAATGAATATTTTACAAAAATATAAAAAAAAATAGATATAATTATATCAAGAGGAGGTTTCCTTTATAAAACCACCTACCTGTGAACTCGTCCTCCCATTCTAAACCCGGATTTAGATTGTATTCGTCTTGAGGAGGAAAGAAACATGTATCAGTAGGGAGTACGGATAATCAATTTGTCATGGTCATCAATTTAACAGAAACAAGAGATAGAATGAAATTAAACAAGAAAAAAAAATAATTAATAATAATAATAAAAAACATAAAACATAATTCAGGTTGACTACCACTGTCTTCTGTGTTTGGCTGCACCAATTTCAATTTACGAAATTGAAGAATATTTACTCTTTTTTTTTCTTTGTTTGTTCCTTATTTTTTTGTTTGTTTTTGTTGTTAATACAGGAAAGAAAAGAGCATCATGCATCACCCATTTAAATATTATTACAGATGAATATACCCCCAACATGTAGCAGAATTGTGCTCGTTTTAGTGCTCAAAATATTTTCGTAAATAGTGCGTTAATGGTAATATTAAGAACATCACTGAGCTAACAATATTAAAAGCGCTAAAAAAATTATCAATCTCACGCATCAATTCATAAATCAAAAAATGGTATTTGCTTTTTTTCCCTAATAATCTTAGCTTGTTGCTTTCTTTGTTTCAGAAACCACCAGTATGTACAACATAATAGAAGAGATAGAGGAAAATTAAAACAGAGAAGTGGTCGAGTGATTAAAAAAATATAAACAGAAACAAATAAACCAAAGAAGATAAATGCAAACTTAAATAACAGCAGAATTTCGGTTGATTTTGTTACTTTTCAGGTGATGGTGGTTAAACGGACAAGTGATTATGGGCTAGAGGGGACAGGCATTCCGAGAGCAAAAAAGGCTTGGTTTTATGTAAATATATGTATATATATATAAATGCCGCTAAGAAGCAAAACTTAAAATAGTTTTTAAAAAACGAATAAAATCATAAACTTACCGTAGTAATCGGTTGCATGAGCTAGGGACAAAAAGGAAAGGAACGAAATTATTTTTTAAGTTTAAAAATAATAAATAAATAATATACGTAAACGAAGAATTTAAAAAAAGAAATAATACAAAAAATATATATCTAAACTAACAGCGCGAAAACTAAGCTCTATTAACCGTTTAAATTAAACGCCCTTCGATTGCGTAATACAAAATTTGAAATCAATCTTATTACTATATACTTTTTCATTATATATATGTTTAATAAGCAAATAGTGTATTACGCAACGTACATAATAGGAAACGTACATAAGTGAAATTTAGTTTAAATGGAGAACATTTAGTTTTAGTTGCCTAGCGGAGACGCAAATCATACGAAAATTTGAAAGGAATGTGCCTCATTTCGGACCATTTAAACTAAATTATTAAGAATTCAGATTATGTGATCTAAAAACCTAAGATAATTCAATTGGCTGAAATAATTGTGCCATTTTAAATCCCCCCAACACACTATCCTCTTAAGTTTACATAACAATGACTGGGGGAGGGAGCTGTTCTTAAACAGTTTGTACCATGACAAGAATATTCACAATATACAGTAGTTAACAGAATCATCATGCACTCATTTGTCTCTTTTAAATATTTATATATCTACAACATCGAACTATACCTTTACGTGGCCTCCACCAATCTTCCATATAGCCTTTAAGCGGGGAAGAAGATGAAGAAGATCCTTGTTAGCAACACATACATAACCACAAGTCACTAATGTAATGAAACTCTTTTTTAGTGGATAATTTCAATAAATAAACCAATAAACCAAAAAGGAAACCAATAATTAATTTCATATGTAAATCATAATTAGAACGGTGAGTGAGCAACAAAAAAGATTAATCAAAGAAAAAAATAAAATAACAGTAAGTAGTAAAGTAATGTACTTTCGATTCTCTACAGAATTGATCAATGGATATTTTTTGTATTTCTACAAGTATACGTAACCAACACCGTGATTCTAATATACACTTCCACTAAAAAACGGTTTACATATTTGTATCTAATCTATTGTTCGGTATAGTCACTAAAATTGTTGGTTATTGCATCATAAATTATTATATAATACTTAAGCTTCATATGTTATTGATAATTTTATATATTTCTTATTTTACTTACTTACTTTCATCATTTAAAAACTCGCTATATTTGCAATTAAAATAATTTCCTAAAGCGTTCATTGAGAACTAGATAAATAAAGGCATGATTTTATAAAACAAATTTTTATTAATAAATAAACAAATGATGTGCAAAAAGTTTTAATATTTTCTAAAACTAATTTGATTTTTTTTTCATTAAAAATATTGTTGACTGCATGTTTGAATATTTACTATATTTTCAATTATCATTGCTTCTTTAAATATCTGTGTATGTATTTTTTTTGGGAATGTTCTACCATTTCCTTTCTTTTATTAACATGACATGTATTGAAATAAGTCAAACTTTCTCTAGTTTTCAAAAGTTAAAATCTTTAGAAATTAGTTTGTTTTTAATATTCTCAGCTAAAATTACTTGAATTATAGTCAAAGTTGTAGATTATGGTAGATTTCATTATGATAGATGCAAAACAAATTTGGTGACTATACTTTACAGTTGAGTGTGTGTGTTTGTATGAATAATAATTTTGGAAACAAAAATATCACTGGCCTGATTAAAAATGTTTCAAATAATGTGGTGTCAAATTACTCACACTTGCTTAAAATTGAAGATCCAAAAATTCCTTCAAATTCAAAGCAGCATTGGAGAATAATCATAATACAAAAAAGTCATTAATTATTAAACATATTATTATATTATCAGAGTGTATTTGTACATAAATTGGTGTAGATAAAAGAGAATATGGGACTTGATTCTAAATGAAAGAAGAGAGAAAGAGAAGAGAGAGAAAATAACATTTTTAATCAGGCAATTTCAATGGGAAAGAAAATTAATAGAAAACTACTAGACCAAATAATAAGAAGTCAAATAAATAAAATAGTCTATGACTACAAATAATAATAGGCACAAAATAATAATATAACAAAAATAATCAAAATTATTAGTGCAGCCAACATAGTAAACAACCAAATAAATAAATAAAAAATGGAATAATTAAAAAAAAACGAATGTATGTAAGTTTCCTTGACTAGGGGGAGAGGTATATTATAAAATCTATTTAATTAAAATTAATTGTATGTAACTAATTATTCCTAATTAAGAATGTAATAACTGTAGTATGTATATAGACAGAAGATCAAATAACAGTTAGATTAATTCCCCAAAAGAGATAATATAAAATCAGGGACTCACCATCTCTTTCGTGACCAGAGGCTGTGGTTTGGGTCTGCCTGGTGTACACAACAACCTCCTGAGGTTGGATATTGGTTGTCTGCACTGGAACTACAGTCAAAACAGGCTGCTTCTTCTTGACTTGTGCCACACTGTAATAAAAAATGATTAAATAATTTGTTAATTTTTCATCTAGCTGTGAAAAAAAAACACTGACTTGTTATGCAAACTGTTTGGTTGTAATGAGGTGTCCGGAGTGTAATTTATACTCTGATCCGGTGTTAATGAGTTAACAGTGGACAGACTCGAGAGGACATCTGGAACAGGAGCAACACCTAGGGAGCGTAGCATCTCATCCAGGTCTCTTTTATCCGATCCAGACTCAACGCGATTTGCAGCCTCCTCAACATCCTTCATCTCCTTCTCCCTTTTCCTCCTGTCCTTCTCCTCCCTCAAGGCCTGAAGCTTGGCCTTCTTGCGCTCCAACTCAGCCTTACGGTCAGACATGGCTGGCTTCATCTTCACTGAAAACTGTAACAAAAATTGACTTTTTGGTGATGCCTGTCACAAGACCAAAAAAATGTAGGGTTTGAGACCATTGTTTTCTGATTCCAATTGGATTACCCGTTGCTGTTAGAAATTCCGGCTGCGTTAAGATGTATTGATTTGTGCGGTTGCAGCGTGCGAGATTCGATCTTCGAGTTCTTGGGGGAGGTCTGGCCCGAAATCGTTGGCTGATGACAAATCGTGGTTTTCCTGCAGCCTGCAGGACTGCATACAAAAATCGATTTGACAGCGAAACTGGTGGGGTGCAACGAGAATGGACGAAAGAGGAAGAAAAAAATGAATATGCTACTTAAAATACGAATTGGATCCGGGCATGCCGTGAAGGTAAGGCCAAAGGGAACACGAAAACAACGGACGGACAGAAAATAACTGTACACTATTTGGTCGAAAATATTTGGAACGGAATTCTTATTCGCATTTACGAAACTTACGATGAGTTACCTGTTCGATTCGTGTATTCCCAGGGGAAACTCTGCGCTCTGCTCTAATTCTAATTCGAACACTTTAATCTAAACACACCGGCTAAAGTACGAACAAACAAAAAAAAACACAACTCCTTCAACGCCCGACAGCCACAACCACCATTACATTTTCTGCTGGTGACGTAATTTTCGCACGGTGAACTTCGAACAGGATTACCAACCTACTCTTCCCCAACATCAATAACTCTTTATGAAAATACGCAAAAACTCTTTATTATATTTACATACATTATTTATAGAATTCGTCATCACACCTAATCTGCATACATACTAATTTCTTCTTAATAACATAACTATACTGCAGACAATTCGCTTTATTACTGCTTCATTATTCTTTGTCTTTTCTTAATATTTTGATAATGTATCTGAAACATACATGTTTTGAATATAAATTTAGAGAATCTCAATTGTTTTATGCATTGATGTAATCTTCCCAATAAGTTCAAAGTGAAGGTTATCTAACCTAGAGCTCAGTCGAAATTGAGATACGTTGTCTAACTTTAATCGTTGAATAAAAATGTTCGCAAGGCATATTTTGGGTAGAGCCCTAAGGGCTACAAACACCGGAAATTCACTTCAGCTTAAAGGAATACAAGGTAAATCTAATTCCAAAGATCTTTTAACTTATAACCACAAATTTACCTTTATTTATTTAATTTTATGTATATTTGGTTGCATACTTTAACATATTGAAATATTTGAAAAAAAAACTGTTTCTTCTTTTACTGGTAATATTTTTCAATAATAAATAAACTTTAATTTTCAATTAATTATGTTTTAGATATTAAAATTTAAAAACTATATTAATTTGTAGCAGAAATTCCTTATTATTAATACTAATTACTATGATTTAAATTGATACTATTTATAGATATTACTCATATTGAATATATACCAAAGTATTGTTTGGAAACATTGTTATTCTTCATTTCTTGTAGAGAGAAAGTTCAACAAAAGCTTATGGAAACAGTATATTGAATACAGTATAAAAATCAGTAAACTTTCGAAAATCTTTGATTGTGTTTAGTAAACAAAAGGTTGACGCGAATTGGATGTTTCTTTTTGAAATTGGGTCAACTAGAAAAGATTTTTTTGTATTTATTTGTAGAATTTATATAATATATTTAAAAAGAAATTATAACATTATTGATATAATGGTAATATAATCTGGTGTGTTTCAACAGGAAAAATAATATTGAAATTGTACTTTAATATAAAATGTATGTACTGACATATTTCAGTAAATATTGCTTGAAGAAAAAATTGTGTAGTTGTAAATTCATGAAAAAATAAACGCATTTTTATATTGAAAACTGTAATCATGTTATATAAATGTTATACATTAACTAATGTGATTTACTCAAATTTATTACATTTCAAATATAAACATGTTGCAGACATATTAAATTATACTGATTTTTTTTTGACACATTAATTTCTGTACTTATATAACAATTATTATGAAACTATATTTTCTAACAAAGTTAAGAGCATATGGAAATTATAATGTGAATTCGAGAAATCATATTTAAATACAACCGATGATCTGAGAGTATTGACCTCTTCTTTGTTTTACAGTTCTTCAAAAATTAGAGAAAATAATGATGTGCAAAAAAATATTCGTTATTTTCTTATACACATTTACAAACTACAAAATATTATCTTATTAGCAAAATATGAAAGTGTTCTGAAGTCACTTCTCACGCACTCAATTAGTTTGTTTGTATACTTTACCTCTTTGTTTCTTTAGTTTGTATTGCTGTCTCCATAAAACATGCAATAAAGTTATTTGGTCCCTAAATATTACAAAATTACGGAAGTTATTTGCGCTTAAAGTAAATAGGGTAATGTTTTTTTTTTCCTATTCTATCATCCACAAACACAATCATCCACTTTGTGTTTATTCGAAATCAATAAATCGTGCATTAATGAATACTGTCCAATAATGTTTATTATTCAGAAGTTTTCAAGTAAAATAATAAATATATGTTCTGTAGGAAACAAGGTAGTAGTGAATAATGTATGAGTCACGACTCATTTTTAAATTTAGTACATACGTAATGATTATTACAATTTATCGATTTGCATCATTAACGTTCTTATATAAATGCGTAATATTTTAGAGCAGAAAATATCAATTAATTGTGTTTTGTTTATGTAATTATTTCAAGTTATGTTTTATAATTATTTATCTATGATTAATCATGAACAATTAATATTTATACGATGACTGTGATTTTTTTAGAATTGGTCGTACAACAAATTAATTATATTTGTATGAAAACATGTTTTCTACATGATACCTAAGTATACAAATGTATATATTCTTATTAGTATGAGGTAATATTAATAGACAGCAATATTCTAAAATTAAAACTTATGTCAAAACTTATCATTTCTTCACATTATTCAATGGTCATAGTGTCGTGTCCCGGGATTAAGAAATCTCTGGACACTGTGGATTATCTTCTAGTTATGTCGTTGTCTATTAATATTAAATGCAATATTCTTTATTAGTTTTATTATACACATCAGAGTTTTATTGAGAAGTCAACTATACAATTGTTGATCTCATGGATTATTAACTAAGAGTTACATTATCCTCTTAAGTTAATATTTAAGGAGCAAGTGCTCTTCCCTGGACTCTCTAAGAAAGACCATGTTCACACTTCAACCCTCCAACTAAGACTATCTTCTTCGTTGGACCCTCTAACTAAGACTAAAATATAAAATACAAAAATGTATACATATGAACTATACATTATTATTGTGAAGATTTGGAAATAATGAAATAATCCAAAAATGACTTAACAATGGCAGTTTTTACATAAGTGATATATTATCAAGCCATTTCTTAATTTAGGTCGTACATTTAGGACATATCTTGTTTCATTGGCTTTAGTCAATTGCTTATAAGTAAAGAATAAGGTAAAGGATAGGACCAAGTATACATCCTTGGGGTACATAAAATATAATTTAAAATAATGTGTAAAATATGCATTTTTAAATGATTATATGTACATTTTCAACAATATTTTTATTGTTGTAAAACATTTAACAATTTTTTCAAATATTATTAGTAATATTTTGTATAATACCTATGCTATTACTGAATGAAAATATCCCTTAGATCTGTCGAATAAATCAGTTAAAAGATAGGACCAAGTGCACATCCTTGGGGTACATCAAATATATTTTTTTCAAATATTATAATTAGTTAATGTAAAAAAATATCTATAGAATACCGAATCTTAAACAATCGAAGGTCATTCGAAAATGCTCTGCGTAATCATTTTTTTTACAGTTGATTGAATTGTTACGCAAATTGCTACTTTTAACAATAGGTTTTTATCGAGAAAAGAGCATAAAGTGTGTAATTATGTACGTTATTAATATTAGTATTCTCGTTTTTGAGCAATTATTTGTAGGATTAGTAATTCTGGTTGTTAAATTATACACAATAAATCCGCGTTTCATTACCTGCTCGTTTTAAGAAAGACGTCTCTTTCGAGCGGAAATGTTTTGTGCAAAAAAGAAACACTATATAATCCGTCTTTCCTTTTCGGTGAACGAGGTCATCCAGTCGCGCTAGGTGCTTCTTATAACTGTACTAGTTGCTCCAAGCGATGATTTGAAGAGAAGCATTTGGTGTAAACAGCAAGTGCAATTATACAACCTATTGTTAAAAGGTAAGTCAAAGTTAATGTATATTTGTTATATAATAATCTTCTCAAGATTGCTTTGAATATGGACAAGATGGAAAGTTCATTGCGATAAATTTAATCTTAATTGCAATTATTTGTGAATCTCTTATTGCAAATTATTTTGTTTTTTATAATTATAAAGTTTGTTCGTGTCAAGTTGAACGCGAGCATCGTTTTATTTAATACAGCTTAATTTACAATGTTTTACTACCGTTTGTTTACCAGTGGGAATTCGAGCTTGAAAATGAAGACGATTAGTGCGAACGTGTATCTCTTAATCTTATCGAGTAAGTGGAGAGAGAGAGCGATAAAATTGGACGAAAAAGCCATGAATAACTGTAATTCCAGTAATATCTGCTGGTTCGGCGGCCGAGCTCACAAAACAGTACGAACCGGGCGGCAGGATGGTCAAAATCGTATCTTTCGAGGAGCTCAAAGCGGCTACCACCAATCCTAACATCCTCATCATCGACGTGAGGGAACCGCACGAGCTCCAAGAGACCGGTGTAGTACCGAACAGCATCAACATTCCACGTAATAGCTAAAATTGTACTTAATAAACACGAAATAACAATCATTGTGCTATCAGTGGCCACTGTTAAGGATGTCCTGGCTAGTTCCCCGGGCGAGGATTTCAAGAAGACCTTTGGAAAGGACAAACCTGACTTAGATTCCGAAATCATCTTCACCTGCAGGTCGGGCAAGAGGAGCGCAGCCGCTTACGCAATTGCCGAGGATTTGGGATACAAGAAGTGATTAGAAGGAACTTAAATGCGTGGTAACAGATTAACAGTGTTTTTTCTTACAGTTTGAAGAACTTCGATGGAGGTTGGCTCTTGTGGGAGTCTAAGATTAAGCAATAAACATTCCTAGACGGTGGTGTTTTAAATAAACGGGTTTACAAATAAACAATTTACACATTAATACGCATTTTTTCTTTCACCTTGAGTTACGCAATCCAATGCCAATGTTGCTTGTTTATTTCCTAACATGTTTCTCGCAGATTCATTGCTATTACAAGTTTGGAAGTATTTAGAATATTTTAAAATATACATTCAAAATTTGTTTCAAAACATACAAATTTAATTCAAGGTTTTTTAAGAAAAAAATTAAGGTAGACTTAATTGGTTAAGTCATCTTTTAAAGATAATATTTTTGCTTGCAATGTGTAGCTACGATGATTATGCAAAATTATTTCTTAAATATTAAATTCATTTGAACAACTTTAATAATAATAATAATTTATTGGCCAAACATCGATACATAAGAAGAAGAGAAATTAAAGGCTCATACTATTATCGTTGATTTTATTTAAAATCTAAATCGTATTATTATTGAAAATATAGTGAAAAATCAATGATTACTATAAAATCATTATATAGATTTTACATTTATGTTTTTTTGTAATTAATCTGAATTATATCGAGAGATACATATTTTATAAACGAAACAATGATTTTTTAGATAATAATGAATATTAGATGCATACATTTATAACCAGAAAATTTGTCTTGCGGAACAACCAAACTCCGTGACTTAAGTTAATATAGAACATTTCATATAATTCTCTAAAAATTCGGTCGTTAATTATGTAATTATGGGTTAAAAAATATTATGGTTTAAAGTATTATTATCAATAAATATTATTATTTTTTTTCTTAATAATTTTTGTTCCTTTTTCAGAAAATTCAATCAATTTCGCATCGATTCGCCTGTATTCCGGTGACAACAAATTGGCTTTATTCGAGGAGGTGAAGAACTTGAAAGCTGGAACCACTTTGATCGATGTCAGGGAGCCCAAAGAATTGAAAGAAACTGGAGTGATTCCAAAAAGTTTCAACATACCTTGTACGAATTAATTGTACTTCTCGTTGTTTCAAACGTTTTTATTAAATGTTAAATACATTTATTTCAGTGGGAGAAGTTGAGGATGCATTTAAGAGTTTATCCAATGAGGCGTTCCAGAAGAAATACGGATTACAGAAACCCAAGGAGGATTATCCATTGGTATTCTCTTGCAGGTCTGGAGTGAGGAGTGCTAAGGCTATGGCAGCTGTTGAAAAATTGGGATATAACAAGTAAGTAAATATAAGCAGTATTTATAAAATCTTACAATTATGATAATGTAAATTTTGTAAAAACATATAAAATATTATTATCTTTCATAATTGTTATGAATTTCTACTTTATAAATTCTAAGATAAAATTTTGTTACGAAAGATTAATTGATACGTATCAATTTTTATAAATAATGAATGATAATGTTAAGATGTTTTATAAGATGCATAGGATTTGTGGTTTTTCTTGTTATTCCAATAGTAAATTATTATTAAAATTAAAAAAAAAAGATAAGGAATTAATATTTGTTAATTGTTTTTAATTATCTATCTAGTATGTTTCCTTACATAAATCAAAATAATTTTAAATTAAAGAAAATCTTTATCAATTAAGAATTAAGACTATACAGAAACAATATTTATTAATAGTTATTAATTTTTATATATTCGTTTATTTTTGTTTTATTCTCCATTTTTTAAACAAAATTGGATTTAACTAATAAATTATTGATATTTATTATAAGCAAATATGTTAAAATTTAGTGTCCCTCGCCTAGTTTTCGCGTACCCATAAAATTAATATACAATTTGAACTTTAAATTGTGATGTTCCATAATTGTCCTTTAAATTGAGTATTTTTCTTGCTTGTTGTTTCAGTGTGAAGAACTACAAGGGTGGATGGTTGGACTGGGAAGAGCAGTCCAAGAGCAAATGAACGAACAAGAAGATCGGTTGCATATACTCTAGCTTCGCGTAGAGTGCGTGCTCATCGAGGAACGTGCGATTACGGTTCGTCCTTGGACGCATTTGCATCATTAAAATAAAACATTTATAACCTCAATTAAAGAGAGCCCGTTGTTATTGTACCCCTTAGAACGCGCCGTGCGCTGCAAACTTTCCCAGCCATTAAACTTTCAGATTTCCAGCTTATTATCGATTCCACTTGTCCCATTTCCTCTCTCTCTATATATTTTTTTTCTTTTCTCGTTTCAATTTCATTTCGTCCACCGGTGCTTATCACTCATTCCCATTCAGAATGTCCGTGGCAACGTACGAGGACGTGAAAGGCTTAGACCCTTCGACCACCCTTCTCATCGATGTGCGCGAGCCGAACGAGCTCGAAACCACAGGGTCCATCCCCAATAGCATTAACATTCCACGTAAATATTATTTTACATTTGATAGAAGATTCTTAAGGGTGTTGATTTTCAGTTGGACAAGTAGAAGGCGTGTTTCAAAACCTAACGGATGAGAAGTTCGAGGCCATCTACCAACGGGAAAAACCCAAGCTAAATGATGACATCGTGTTCTCTTGCAAATCCGGGATGAGGGCTCTGAAAGCGCTGAAGGTCGCAGCCGACATGGGCTTCAGCAATCTCAGATACTACAAGGGTAGCTGGACGGAATGGGCGGAGAAAACTCACGAGTAGGCTTGTAAAACAAACATGTTTCTTAACACCACTAATTTTAACAGAGAGTAAAAAAAACACTATAATACATAGATATTATTTTATTTCTTGGTACAATCAATACTTGCACAATACAAGCTTATCTTTGCCCGATTAGGATCGCAACTGAAGGAGAATTATTCCCTATCACTGATTGTGCGTATATTGTTTTTTTTTCTCTTACGAAACTACAATTGAAGAATAGTAAAATCGAAGCGGCGTTTCAACATCTTTCGTTTATTTAAATTGCTTTCTCGTTATGTACAAATCAATTGTTCTTGTCGGCCAATTTGGAGCTAATCATGTCCTTGAATTGGCCGAGGATAAGGTTCTCCCTCTTGGAGCGTTCCTCCTTGCTGAACATGGCCAACGCCCGTTTCTCGTCGGCGGAATAAATCTGGTTTTCCTTGCGGATACGGACGGCTTCCATGCGCCTGTGCCTGCTTCCGGACATGACGTAGCCCTGCGACTCGTACGTAGCGATTTCGTCTGAGGTGAGGCCTATCTCGCCTCTCCTGGGAATACGTTTTCCATCTGCCACGTAAGCTGCCATCGCCGCTCCCTCACCTGGCAGAAGGGCTTTACCCATTTCTTTATGGGTCAACTGGCTATGCGACTTCAATTGAGGACCCACGAGGCTATCGTCCAACTCTTCATCATTATCGGACTCGTCGCTGGAATATATCTTCTTTTTCTTTTCGGCAACTGAAAAAAAAATAACGCATACATTAAATTACATTTTATTGATTTTTAATAAAGCACATTTCCAATTACTTCATTTTGTCACATTCCAAAAACACGTTTATTTATAATCAAACTAATATTGTCAAATTAAAAGTGAAACTTGTAACTTTTCGTCATCGATATTCAAAATTATTGACGTTTTATTAAATTATATAAATATATTATTGCTATTGAAATCACAGACATAAATAATTAAAGAAATAAATCCAAATATTATATTGTTATTTTCATTTCGTTGCTAGAAATCTAATACAGAGTTCTTGAAGTGTTATTGAAATTGCACATTTTAAATGTTTATCAATTCTTATCGTCATTATTCAAGGTTGATATAAAACTTAATAGAAGCACGTCCCAATAACCGAATAATAATAATTTGAAGGTTTGACCTTTATAGACATTCATTTATTGTATGTTCTCATATCACAATTTTTAATAAATAACTTTTTAAACCTGATGTCTAAATTTATTTTTTTGTCTTTTCTTCTTCAAAAATCTGTCTCATATAGACAATAAGCTAAATTAGTGACTTTGATAAAAAAAAATGAATCCTTGAAGGATTGGTCCAGTACTAAATTTTTGAAACCTTTTGTAACAGAATTAATAAACTGACTGACATCTTGTTTACAGTTTCTCTTTGTACTAAAAATGTTCAACTTTTCAAAATATCGATTGTTTCCTTTACAGAATAACAATTTATTAATGAAGCTATTTATTGTTATAATGAAGTAATGGACTTTCAAACGAGATATGAATATTGAGTGTTAAATCTTAATCGATAAGCTTTACTCCTATCGCGGTTAGCAATGTATACAAAAATAGCATTATTGATTTTCTACAAAGAACGTAATACAATATGATTATGACATGAATTAATATCAATTTAATTCACTCTATACTCTAAATGTAATCATTCCGTAAGAATTTTAAATGTAACTTCATGTTACATTCCTTGATACTTTGATACATTTCTATCAATTAAGGAAAATTACTTTCAATTAGAGTACAAATAACAATGAAGAAAATAAAAACGATATACGTATTTCCCATTCAACCAAAGAATTTCAGTTCAATTATGTGGATGTGTCTACCAAATGTTTGATTAGAATAACATTTAAAATGTCTCTAGTTTGAAAAAAGGATATCAATACAATATGTATTCGATTTTAGTGTCTCTATGTTCAGATGTTATTAAATAATAATGAAAAGAAATACATTTCAATGCAATATTTCCTCATATATAATTCTATTATAATATTGTTACTATAGAAATTGTGTTCGCAGAATTCCGAAACAACGGAACTAAATCTGCCTGAATGATTATCATTAGTTTCAAAATCCTAAGAAAAACCTTTCGTGCCAGCATGAACAATGATGAAAGTACTTGACTCTACTGTGCGTGTCCCCAATGCTTTACATGACACGATCGAAGGATAATCCTCCACCTAGTATTTACTCCACATAATTGTCATGGTTAATGAAGTAAACGTATAAACGATCCTTATATTACATTTCTTTCCTTAAAAGAATAGTTCAATTTTGTAAGCAAAAACAACAGTGTTTCTTAATAATTGCAATTATTGTTAGGTCTTTTCAATATTTTCAAAATTAATGACGAAAATTTTAAAAAGATGATATCTAATTGCTTTTTAATGCATTTTGAAATATAATTAAAAAATTAATCGAAGTTGTAAAGTGATTAAAAAAAATTGATTTTAAAATAAATTTGTGTAGAACTTAAGTAATACAGTGGAATTCCAATATTTGTCCACACCTATACTCGTCTTTTTTTTTGATATTCGTTCTGTTTTTTGTTTGATATTCGTCGGAAAAGTCAATATTTGTCCCACCACTGACGTCGCCGGCAAGCGAAAAACGTATTTGATATTCGTCCTCCTCTTGGGAATGGATTAATGTAGAATATTGGAGTTCCACTGTATATTGTTACACTTACTGCTGAGTATAAAAAGCTTAGTACATTTCAAAACATGCTTTGTTTTCTTATCCATAGATGTAATAACCAAATAATCCACTGACCTGACTTCTCAATCCATTGATCCTGTTCTGATGAGCTGCTGTCATCATCCTCACTAGAAGATACCTTCCTTTTCTTCTTCTTTTTCTTTTCCTTCTTGTTCTTCTTAGACTTCTTGCTCTTCTTTTCCTTCTTCTTTTTCTTCTTCACCTTACCTACACTTTTCTCTGTTTGCTTGACCTCCTCTTCTGAACAAGGCCTAAATTTATAATTAATATTGATATTCCTTAACTATCTATTAAGAAACTCACTCAATAGGTGGTGGAGACATGCCCCAGATGTGCTGGCACTCCTGCAATCCCAGCATCTCACGTTCCTGTCTCCTTGACTCTAGAAACTCCTCTTCCTGAGTCAAACTCTTGTGGTGACTCTTCTGAGATGATCTACCATACTTTCCATGATCATTCTCTTGCTTATGATGAAAGTGTGAATGCTTGTGGTGCTCCCTCTTCGGAGAGTACCTTTCCTTAGTTCTTGTCCTGGACCTAGATCTCTTCTCTCTGGATCTTGACCTCCTCTCCTTGGACCTGGATTTACGATCGCGGGATCTGGACCTCCGTCTTCTATTTTCAGGACTTCTGTCGTGCCTCCCCATTATTTTCAATCACACGTTTAACATTACCTTATCAACATCATATTAAAACAAACTATCTCGGCTCGGCTCTTAAACATAACCTAGAATAATAATTAAAAAAATCGACTAACACAACAAAAAATACATACTCTATACTAAGTTTAAGGAACTAATTTTAACGATAGGCAACAGTAATAACATGTTCAAAAGTTTTAAATCGTTAAATCTGATCCAAAATAATTAAGTATTATTTAAAATCGTTCATAAAAATAAATAAATTGTATTTAATTTATTTAAATATTTTTAAATACTTGTTTAAAAAAAATGTGAAACATGTAATAAATATATTTTTGTATATTTGGTTATATAATTATAACATGTAGTTTCTTGTTTTCTTTGGAGAGGTCATTTAAAAAACCTAACCTATAATAGGTGCCAGTTTGTTTTTGTTATTAGTTGAGTACTTAAAGGATTTAGGTATGGCTGATTACGGGAATGTGAAAATTTCTAAGTTATCGTTTAAGGGAGAATCACAAAAGTAAGTAATTATAAAAACTATATATTGTTAAATTAAATTTAATATTTGTTTTAGAGGAAAGAAACGTAAACACAAGAGCAAGAAACATGAAAAAGAGAAGGTGGTTGTTGACAAAGATAGTATATCTCATGGCAATTGGTGGAAAGTAACAAAAATAGAAGATATGTGTGGACCTGTGGCTATAGAGTTTGGAGATCAAACTTATGTAAAGGCTTTGGACAATGGTTTATTCACATTGGGTGCTCCTCATAATGAGTTTGAGGGACCTTCACCTGAAGAGATTTTAACAGCAGTGGCTATAACAGAGAGGAAAGTGGCTTTCAAATCTGGTTATGGAAAGTATTTGAGGGTGGAAAAGAATGGAAATATTACAGGAAGATCAGATGCTATTGGGCCTTTGGAACAGTGGGAGCCAGTGTTCCAAGATGGGAAAATGGCAATACAAGTAATGCATTCAATTTAGTTAAATTTACACCTATTTATCGTACTTTATTTATAGTCTAATACAGAGAGTTTTCTATCAGTGGACGATGATGATAACGTTGTAGCGAAGAGCAGGACGGCGGGCGAAGCGCAGTTTCTTCAAATCCGCTGCCAGACCGTGAGACAGGACACCAAGCGCAAAGAGGTTCCTGATGAGGAGCAAGGAACTTTGGAGCAAGTTGAAATCAATTACGTGTAAGTGTTAGAATTCTTGATTTTTAAGAACGGCTAGTAAACGTATGAACTTTCCAGCAAAAAATTCCAGAAGTTCCAGGACAAGAAATTAAAGATCTCCCAGGATGGCAAACAAGCTTTGGAGAAGGCAAAGACGGAAGGAACTTTTTATGAAACTATGCTCGATAGAAGGAGCAAAATGAAAGCGGACAGATATTGTAAATAATTTGTTTATACGTGTAAATAAAGTTGCCTATAATTGTTTATAAATATAAACAAATTTGCTTTTAACTTAGGTAACTTTATTCATTTCCTATTATTGCTCTAGATGTTGTTTTACTTTGTTGATGCTGTAAAAGGAAGGGAAGATTTAAACAATAATAGCTCGAGATAAAGAGTAAAAAATAAAACATTGTCATTCAACACTTGGTTTCTTTTCTTTCGTTTTTTTTTTCACTGGTTTCATTCATTTAAAAAAAAATAATATAAATTAAGAGTTGTAAAATGGGGGGACTTTGATGGAGCCAAGGGGGGAGGGGGTTATATCATGTCTGTTGTGTTGGTGTGGTCTTAAGGGCGACCCACGAACTTTCATAATTAATATATACACACTACACAAATCCGTAATAGCATCAGTTAACAATCTGGTGGGCTTCTCCTGTTCATCATCGTCGTCATCATCCGCTGCTGCTGCGGCGTACATCTTTTTTCTGTTGCTCAGTCCACACTTAATGTATAAATATGTATTTTTTGTTTGTTTAATTATGATTCTTTTTTTTGTTTGTTTAAGTATTATCGATTACATTAATAGTCCTTGTTCTTTTTTTTTTGCATTTAATTATAAAATTCTCCCTCTCACACTCAACTACCGTCTTCACTCGTTTTCGCCCTATTCGCCTTCAGCCAATCGACGAACTCGTCCAACATCACTGGCCCTGCAAAATTGCATTCATCCCAATCAATTATGAGGCCGTTTCATTTACGTAAGTGTATACTGACATGCACCATCGACATCGTAATTTGTTAAATCGATATTGATGGTCCTGGAGAACTCGAGAATATTACACCACTGATCCTTGTTGATCACCTTGTACTTGGACTGTTCCAGAAAGTGACTGAAGTTTGTGTACAGTGACCAATGCTTTCCTAATAGTAATGCTAACATTGCTTTAGCAGTATCCATATCCATACTTCTTTGATCTTTATCCTGCAATTACCAATACACAATTTATTACATTAATTTCATTGAAAGATTTAAAAAAATAAGGGTCAACTAGCTTCAAAAATAATACTTACTCTAGCGAAATCGTAAGCGTATCTATAAATGGCTTTAAAATGATTCTGATCATTTAGCAGACACCTGAGATGATCTAACCTAGCTTGAATTTTACTGACTGAATCACATTGTAAGTCTGACAACCCCCGCAACCATTCCTCTTGCGTGAAGAAGCCCATCTGGCGGGCCTGCATTCGGTACGCAAGGACGAGCATCACTATGTTTTCTGGTTCCACTCCAATATCCTCGCAGAACTTCTCCATGCCCTCCGGGCCTAAAGTATCCGGATCATCTGGCGCCGTGTACTCTCTGAACCACGTCAGACATCGTTTCTGGTTGAACTGAAGAGCCTCGTCCACCCGATTACCATACCTCCTAGAACTAACACAAAAACACCACAATTCAGAGCCAAGCAAATCATCCATACGTTATGCAATATTTATATATGTACATATAAATAAATATATATATATAAACTTCAATAATACTAGCTAATGAAATGCGTTAGTTCAGTATCATAAGATTTTTAATTGATCACACACATACTAACTCATCCATGGTGGTCAGAAACTGCTGACATATAGAGATGGTGAGGAGAGAGGTCCAAAGATCTAAATTTGTAACTAAACGTGCGCCGGGGGACTCTAAAAATAAGAACGCGACGCGCCAATTGAAACGGATTTTCTTTTTATCACGTTCAGTTTTCGAATGCTAGACAGACACAAACATCCCCTCACGTGCAATAATCTTCATACGATAATAAAATACTCTCTTCTCCATAACAACCCATATAACAAATAAATCGTTAACGTTGTTATGGAAAAGTTTCAATTACATTTCTCCTCCACTAATTAGAAAACGTTTAGTTTACACATAGACATCAAATCTAATTTAGTATTTTTTGTTAAATACATGTATTATTTAGAGACACACAATAACTAATGACGGTGCATCAATTTACCTTAATTATCAAATGACGTGTAGAAAATATTTTGAACTTTAACATCAACAAATCACATTTTTATGATTATATAAATACTTTTAATTTAATAGTTTTATAACCATAAAAACTGAAACTTAGAGCAAACATTTTGTTTTCTGATATAAAATGTTAACTATATCAATAAATAATAATATTATTAACAAAACTAAAGTGAAAGTTAAAACAAAAAAAATGAATTAAACATTTACTTCAGTGTTAGAATAAATTATGTATTATATTTGTAAATATGTTTAATTCCAGAATAATTAAGAATTGTAACTCTCGGAATTTCTAAAGTTTTATCCTATTGATTGGTTCTATCAAGGATTCGATCTTACAACGTTTCATGGATACATTCACTTACTTGTCAAGTGCCCTTCAAAAGAGCAACAAAATAAAAATAACCATTAAGAATTAGTAAGATTCCTATAACATTTTAAAAATAAATCTCAATATTTGGTTTAATTAATCTGTTAGTTTTATATTAATCACAAAACAAAGCTGCATATAATTTTCCTTACAAATCAATAGTGAAAGTATTCATTTTTCCTTCATATCATTATTTTCAATGACCTTTCATTCACATGTTTTTAATCCTGATTAATGTCGAAATTTATATTTCAACGTTAAAAGATTATCAAGAAAAATAAACACTTAAATATCATTGATTACTAACTTGAGATTGTATTGTTGTTTAAATTCAAGCCTAAATATCTGCGGACAAATGTCAAATATCTGTACTAAATATATATACAGTGAAACCTCGCTTAACGAGCAAAATGAATTGTAAGAAAAATTACTCGCTTAACGAGCGACGTTTCGCATAACGAATGACGATGAGAAGACCCGAATTGCGCGCCTGCTACATCATTTTTAAAACTTGTGTACACATATTATGTGTATTTTTGAATATGTTTCATTATACGAGTAAAAATCCGAAAATTTTGGAACGGATTAAAGTCGTTAAACACAAATGAATTTAAATAACACCACAATTGTTAAATTATCTAAACTTTATTTATGAGTCACAAATGGATTCCCTGAAAATATTAAATGTAAATTATTTAATTTGAGATTGAGATAAATACATTAAATGAACAATAACAGGTAATTAAAATTGTTATTTAAAATTAAAACAAAAACTGTTTTCAAATATTACATTAGAAATTAATAATAGATTATTTAGTATTTTTACTATATTGATTTTATATTCAACAAATTGAAAAAATAAATTTATATTTTCATACTGGTAATAATAGAAATATAATACAGTGGAACCTCGCTTAACGAGTTTAATCCGTTCTAAAATTTCCGAAATATATTAAAAAATACATATTATATGTGTACACAAGTTTTAAAAATGATGAGGCAGGCGCGAAATTCGGGACTTCTCATCGTCACTCGTTATACAAAACGATGCTCGTTTTTCTTACAATTCATTTTGTTCGTTAAGCGAAATGCTTGTTATGCGATGTTCCACTATACTGTTTATTTTTTGTCATACAGTAATTTATATATGCATCTGTGAAAAGCTTGATAAAGCATAAAAACATCCACCTTTTGCTGACCTCTCAATAAGTATAATGTATACAATATGGCAATTAAGCATAATATATTATACAAGAATCTTTTTAACTGAGATAAGTTAAACAGTTATAAACAATTATATTTATATCCTACTGTCTTACTGCAATTTGGAGACTTACCTAGTATAATTGCGTATCCTTTTTGAAGCATATCTTTCTTCATCTACAGAACTCATTTCAGTTGTGGACCTACGCTTACTGCGAGGCATTTCACTCCCAGCCAATCCCACAAAAAAGTTTCTAAAATATAGCTGAGATTAATCAAGGGGCACTTTGTATGAAAATGGTAGGAATGAATCATGAACAGAACATACATAGGCAGAGTCTTAACCTTAAAATATGACAGAAATGATTAACTTACAGAGTAAATTGTTTTTGAGTGTAATTGATCTACTTAGGCTGTGACCATTTGAATCTGACAGAGGGATAATGTGATGATAGGTGAGTGTGGTTGAGGGGCGAAAGAGTGAGAGAGAAAGGATTGAAGGGTAGAAGAGAAGAAAAAAAAGAAACAACAAATGCTTGTGTTTGCACTGGATTTAGGTGGAATTATGTAAAGTGAAATCAATATTGAGGGTGTTGGGAAAATGCGTGCGTATAGGAGGAACGGGCTGAGATGGAGTTTACCTGAGTAATTTATTTTGCGCTGGTTAAGGTATATAATAAAATGGAATCACCCCTCCCAACATGAGATCTTGGTGCACTAAATTTAAGACGACTAGATGCATCCACCGTTCGACGAAGTGGGAAACAAACGCAACACCAGTTCCAGTCCTAGGTTCGATCCGTTTTTTAGCAAATCTGCGATCCGGTCATCAAGCATCGGCGGATATGTTTCTGCTGGTTTTTCACCTAGAACTTGACTCGTGCTCTGTTTGTCTATTGCTATTGGAAGCATCAGCTGGGATCTTGCTTTAACCTTGAACTGAATCTGGGGGAATTTTGTTCCGAGCTCTCCGACTAACGAATTACCAACTTCCGGACAACAATACCCCGAAAACTAGGGACACTCTGTGAGTCGGGTAACTCGCAAATTTATGCGCAATTCCCGTTTTTTTTTACCTGGAAATCGATGGAAAGCAATCATGGACTTTCACAATTGCATTTCCCCCGCTTTTCCTGCCACCAATCGGCATTCGACCACGCCACTACAGCAACCATAGTTCCTGTTGCTGAAGTTGCGAACCACAACAAAAACATTGGCTGTTATTGGCTCTCATCGTACAAAAAATAAGCAGGGAAGGGGGAATTTTCCGATTGTTTGGTTTGGTTTGATAACAATTAATTTTGGCGTCACATAACTAGTAATACATGGGTCACAGTGCATATAAGAGCAACAGATCTCATAGCGCTTCGTCTGGTTTATATAGCGCGGCAAACGTTGAATTCGATCAAGGTGATTTTTTCTTTGTTTTTTTGTTCCCGAAGAGAGCGCGAAAATGGAGGGAAACGATAACGCAAAGAGTTTGCAAAAACAATTCGAACAGAACAGCGGAGTGCTTCAGCAGTTAAGGATGAAATTCGAACGGAAGATTGATTGGGATGTTATTTTGTCTGTGGCGTTTGAGACGGGATTCGAATGTAAGCTAATGCAAAATCATATAATTGTTGTACATTATAATTGAATTTATCTTTTGCGGTTGATCCACCAAAACATCAGTACGGAAGGCCACTACCTGTTTGAATGATATAACAAACAGCACAGCTATGTCTGAGGTTAAGGCTGGACTCACAGGGAACGAGAATTTAGATAGGATCGTAGGGACCTTGAAGAGGGGAATTAAAGTGTTGATTATGCTCAGAGGATTACCGGGTAGTGGTAAAAGCTACTTGGCAAATAAAATTGTGCAAGAGTCCATTGGTAATAATTGCACATTGAGCGATCACATTTTGAGTGCTGATGATTACTTCTACAGTAATGGAAATTACAAGTATGATGGCAAATATATAACTGAGGCTCACAGGTGGAATCAAACGAGGGCTCATCGTTTGATGCATGATGGTGTCAGTCCTATTATTATAGATAACACTCATACACAGATGTGGGAAATGAAACCTTACTGTATTTGGGGGGTGCAATATGGTTATATGATAGAAATCATGGAGCCTGACACTCCTTGGGCTTTCAATGAAAGAGAACTGACCAAGAGAAACAAACATGCTGTACCTAGAAGTAAAATCAGGGATATGTTGGATAGGTATGAGAAGAACTTGACAGTCCATAGGATATTTAATGAATTTGAATTGCGTTACGGTGATGGGAAATTGCCGCCGCAGCCCAGGAAATATCCACCTATTCTCAAAGAGGAAATCTACATATCTGATGATGAAGATGTAGACATAGTTAATAAGGAGAACAACTTTAGGATGGAAAATGAACAAGCTTGGCAGTCTATTGATGTGAATAGTAAGGCGTATGCGAACGTTGAAACGAATTTCGATTATAAAGATATTGATGATCCGTCATTAAAAGTGATCATAGCTAGAAACAATTTTAACAACGTCGCGATTTTACCTCCGATGTACAAAAAGAGCGGGTTTCTGGATAAAGGTACCATGACAGATGACGAAGAAAATGGTATAGACGAATTATCGCTGGATCATTTAGTCGGCCTATTTGATAACAAATACCCTTTGGAATATATAGTAGAGATCTACGAAAAGTGCAATAAAAGTGTCGAATGGGCAATCGAAATTCTATTGGAAAATAATAAGGATATCTTGGAGAATTACAAGCCACCACCAAAGCCCAAATCCATGGAAATCGATGAATCCGAAGATGTGGATTATGAGTTTATCGAAGTAGATGATGGCTCTTCAGATGAAGACAGGAAACGCTTGCAGATTGAACGGCAAAACCTCAAGCAAATAATCGAGGCTAACGTTGATTTCAATGATGAACACTACTCAGAACACGTATTGCAATTGAAGCACAAAGGGAAGAAGAAGAATGTGGTGTCGCCCAAAGCAAGCACTTCTAGGGAGGAGAACAAAGAATCGGACGATAGCGATGTGATTATCGTCGATTCCGATCCTGATTTTGATGATAGCGAAGAATTTATCGAATTCAATTTGGGAGAGGTGTTCGTTGCGCAACTGGAGCAGAAGTTTGGTGATCCAAACATAAAATACCCTCAAGGATTTCTACCCATCATTGAAATGCCTAAGTCTTTGGGTAAACAGTTGCACGCTATGTACGTGGAATCGATCTTCAAGCAGATGGACGCGCAGAACGCAATATTAACTAACATGATAAGGGAAGATGAGGAGCTTGCAAGGCAGTTGCAGCAAGAGGAGGGCCGCATAACGCCAAATTTCAAAACCATTATGTCCGAGCAGAAAGTTCTATCGAAGCAACAGAGCCTCAACGAGGAATGGAAGAAGCAAACACCAGATGATATCGCTTACAAAATGAGCAAACATAAGTTGCTGGAATCGTTCCCTGACATTCCTAGCCATGATTTAATAGAAATCCTCCATGCCCACGGTAATTCTTATACACAAACGGTGGAAGTGCTACGGCAATCAGGTGCTATGAAAGTGAACAACCTGAACGTTAGCGAACCGCCAATCTCCGAAGAAACCATGATAGAAATGCGCGAAGCTCAGAAATCCAATGAGTTCAAAGAACAAGCGGAAGTAAAAAGAACGGCGGACGAATTGCGCGAGGAAGCTGCAGAGTATCATAGACGAAGAAAGGAGTTGCTTCAGAAGGCTCAGCTTTATCAGCAGAGGAAGATGACCGAAGTCGCAATGTATTATTCAAACTTGGCGTCTCAGCAGACGCAGAAGTTCGAACGTGCAAACAATGAGGCTGCAAACGTGATCTTACACGAGCATTTTAACAGGCTGGGAGCTTTCGACACATTGGATCTGCACTATTTGCGCGTCCCCGAAGCACTGGCAGCGTTGGACATGTTTCTGGATAGGAGTATCAGGCTTCTGAAGAAGGAGAAGAAAAGTGACTACGGTACTCTGATGATTCTGACTGGTCGTGGTCGCAATAGCCCTGGTGGAATACCGCGGATTAAACCTGCCGTAGAAGACAGACTGAAAGCGCGTGGCTTAAAGTAATGTTCAACATCAATACATGACATTGAACGCATTCATTAAATCGTATTGTTTTTTGTTTTACAGATATAGACTGGACAATCCAGGCCTGATCCGTACCAAGATCCTTCGGACTTCCCTAATGACAGATAGTCTCTATGATAACAATTAAAAATCTATGTGTATGTATGACAGAGACATTCCCGTGTATTTTTGTTTGTGTTGTTACTTCGTTTTATTTGAGATTGCATTATATTGGTACAAATATTTACACGTATATAAATAATGGGTGATTCGTGTACGGTAGATTCGACATGTCCATATCATTTCATTCGATTGAACAGGGTACACAAAGAGGTGCGTCAAAATCATCGTCTGCAATTGTTAAAAAAATACTTTTTTTTTCTAAAATTATTATTTTAACATTACTGCAAAGTGTGATATTGCTCGACGTACTTCAATATTTTTAAATTATAGTAGGTAAACATCTTGAAATTTGGCAACGATAAACATTTTATAAAATTAAGTCGTTTAATTAAGTTGTTATTTTATTCGAAATATATATAATGTTAATGATTTATTATTTTGGGGACGATATCGCTGCCACATTTCAATTACGTTCGTTTTTGTTTTGTTTTTTGTGGATCTTCTACATCTGCAAAGTTATTCATTTCTTGGTACAAATTGTGTCTGATTTACCGCATCCGGATTTACATCCTATTATATATACATTTAAGTACATATATTTTATACGTTATATATTTTATCTATATTATATTTTAGATAAGTTTAAAAAAAACGAATGAATAAAACCCTATGCAAACAATAAACTTTATTCTTAACAAAACATTTAATCCAATCCATTGTCCAATATGAATAATACCTGTTTATCTATAAAATAATTTAAACAAACGAAATTGTTTGGTTAGATGAATTTATAATTATCAACTAATGCAGGAGACAGTTACATAAATGTTTTTATGAACATTGATTCATAAATTCATACATGATATTTTTTTTAATGAGAATAATCGGAGATCGAATGTTATTAATAATTTATTAGTTTTAATTGATTCTTAAAATTTGGGCCGTCGCGTCTCTCTATTGCAGATCCGTTTCGGCATGACGAAGGACGTCGATTGGAACGCCTTCATGTTTAAGTGGTCATCAGAGACTTCCGTTTTCTTCGTCAAGTTACTAAGAGAAGGAACAAACAAATTTAAAATTGTTCACCCAATTGTTTTATTATAACCTTGTGGTTTTCCTAAACAAATTTGTTTTGGCCTGTAGCGATTTCTTGCGTCGCTGAGTGTCCGAATTCGAGTTGTACATCTTCAGATTCTTCTTAGCGTCGAAGCTGCCTTTAGATTTCTTGTCACCCATCAGATCCACAGCAGTTTTAGCGCTCAAGTTTTGCTTGTTGAGGGATTCGCCGCTCTTACACAAGAGCGTTTTCATCGAGTTGCTCTGGAACTGAAAGTATTAATGATGATGAAGAAATAGTTTGAAAGGAAATAACATACTCGTTTCTTCTTGAAGTATTCTAGATTGAAGTTCATGTTAGGTTGATCTCCGTACTCTTGTCCTATGTGCGCCGTAACCAGTTTTGCGTACCTCTCTTGTTGTCTATAAAAAGGAGATTGATTATTGTGTGTTAAATGAGAAAGTTATAAATTGTAACTTCAGATCGTTGAAGTATCTGTGCTGAAGAAGGCGTCGAGCGTTGCTCCTGATTTCCGGGTCGTATTGGAGCATCAACTTGAGGACAGTTTGTCCGTCATCGCTGAATTGATTGATGTGAGGTGTTAAGCCTGTTCCAATTTGCCTTTGGAAGTTTTTCAGATTGGCTGATCTAAGTATAAAATGGAAATAAAATTTGTTAGCAAATTGAAATTTATTACCTGGATTTGAGTTTGCTAAGCAATCTGGTGCTAGGCGTTCCTAACACGGAGTGTATCCTAGTCAATTGATCAATTTCATTGGTTCCGGAGAAAAGAGGTTTGGTTCTAAGAAAACAATTAATAATGTTTTGATTGTTGAAAGGTTGATTTTTAGGTACGTCAAGATCTCGTAGAAAACGCATCCAGTGGCCCAGATGTCCATTTTGGGGCCGTAGTGGCCGCTGGTCAGAAGACATTCCGGAGATCTGTACCATCGAGTTGATATGTATTCGGTATAAGGCGGTTTACTGTAAATACCGCGTATAGATCCCAAATCTGCAATCTTCACTTGCTCGCTCTACGAAATAAGTAACTTGGGTAAAAATCAAAAGTTAATATCCAGAAGATCCTACCTGACAATGCATATACGCTATTGGCGGATTCAACTTTACAAGAATGTTCTCAGGTTTGATGTCTCTATGGAACAAACCATTCCTGTGCAGATAATCCAAACCGTTGAGCATTTGGTACAGATATGTCTTCACCCTCGCTTCTGGAATGCAACTGCATTTGTGAATGAAGAGATTTAAATATATACCCTCGTGACCGGTGCGGCTTACCGCTTCTTGCTCTTCATGAAGTCGTACATGCTCATGTCCATCAGCTCGAAGATAAACACGACCTTCTTCGACTTCTTCTCGCTGCGAACAAAACAGAAAACATCAAAGATAACATTTCATGATGATGATGATGATGATGACTTACAAGAAGTACTCCAGCATGTAGAGAACGTTTGGATGTTTGCTCAGCTTTTGCATGGCGATGACTTCGGCGCAATAGTAAACATCACTGTTACTGGAAAACAAAGCTATAAACTATGAATTTTCTTCAGAACATAAACGTAGTGAACTTAGAACCTTTGGAAACTTTTCTTTAGAATTTTCGCTGCGTACGTTTGCCTCGTGACCCGGTTCTCGCATTTCAACACTTCCGAAAATGATCCCTCCCCAATTTTCTCAATAATTTTATACTCTGTAAAAGAACAATAAATAGACACTTGATATTGATTGATAATTTAGTATTTACTGGAAATGAACGTAGGCATGTTCTTTAGTTTATCCAAAAGTACCAAAGCAAACGCGTCGATTTTGAATTGAAAATACCCCCTTGCATTTGATAACTAACAGACAATCAAAAATTACATACGTCACATCTGTGACAGACTGCTTTGGCATTAAACTACTGGTCTTGTTTGCAGGTATCAATGATGAACTTTTATAACAAAGAAGTGTGAATTGCATAATTTTACTATTAATTTACTATATACTACTATAATATGTGTTTTTATTTAAATAAATTACTTTTATGCACAATTCATACAATTTTAAACTCATCCATATGGAAATATAATGTAATAAATATCGATTAAATATCGATTACTCTTTTCAGTTAGGTTTAAAAACAAATATTTACAAATTTATAAAATAGGTTTGAATTATATTTAACAGTATTAATAACACATAATTATTAATTATGACAATTATTTAATACATTTCTTATAATATTATCTTAATTATACCAAAATAATTATTTTTTTATTAGACCAAGGTCAAAATATTTTGAATTTATTATAAAAATATATGGTAATCTTTAATAAATAACATTGTTTCTACTTATATATGTTACGGTAAAACTTGGTACGACTTGGTTGGTCGTATTTATTATTTTCAACTTTTACCGATATACGTAGATGTAAATATTTAGATATATGACGCTGCTGTCAGATTTATACTTACCATTTTCCGGGAAATGTATACATTTACCGATTGTGTACTTTTACCGTAACATATACATTTTATAGCATAACTACAGATGAAAAAATATTTTCTTAAAGAATTTTATAATTTTAATACAAGATTTTTTTTATTAGTTATTTAGTTATTTTGCTACATAATATTTTTGAAAACGTTTTAGTGCAGATATAATTTATTATATACATTTTAATTCAAGCTTACACTAAATATACTAAATAATTTTGTATACCAATTACTTTAGTTATATTTGGTTTAGTTAGACAACTTGGAATGGATTGTTCTAATAGATTAATTGTAACAGGTTTAATAAAATTTACTAAAGAATTTGTCAAGAAATTGTACTTCAAGTAAATATACAAATTTCAATTTATATAATATAATAAATGAGTTTCCATATGGAAGTTCAAAGTAAATGAATTGCAGTTTTAAAGAATACTCTAAGTTTCATGATTTCATAATTGTATATAAAATGTGCAAGTCTCAGTACTTATAAGTACAAATCTCAGCATTTTAATTCACATTCTGTATTCCATTTAAGTATACATTTACGACCTTCAATAAACAACTCCAATAGTGCAATGTTCAAGTGATTCCAATTTCAATTACATGTTTGTACAATACAGAAAGTATACAATTTATAATAAAATATATATTACCAATAAATATAAATGTTAGTTATATAAATTGTATAATAAATAAAGACTTAAAGTCAAATAAATCAATTACAGTTTTGAAGAATGTTCTAAGATTCATGGTTATAAAAGTATATAAACTGTACAATTCTCTGTACTAAGAAGTACAAATCTCAGTATTTTAATTCACATTCTGTGTTCCATTTATGTATACATTTACGACCTTCAAAAAGAACAGTGATTCAAATTTGAAATTAGTTCAAATTGTTTATTAGTTCATCTTTCTCAATTAATTTAAATATTGTAATTAATACTATTTTATTTATTATTAAATTATAATTAAAGTGTATATAATTAAATTGTGATAAATGTATAAATTTTAAAATTAAACTTCTACTTAAAAGTAGATCAAAGTGTTTTTTTATGATATATTTGCATTGTAGATGAAACGTTATTATTGTATTTGATATAAAATAAGTTTGTATTATTATTATAGGTAACGGTAGTATTTAATAATGATTTTTGTGGATGTTTCTTAGGGTAGTTCAAATGGTGGTAGTTCTAAAGGAGACGCAAAAAATTTGCGTACATCAAAGTTAGGATTTGGTTGCTTGCAGTTGGCAGTCGCAGTTTATCGATACTTTAAGTTGGTGCTTGTGGGTGACAATCAGTTTTGTTTTTAATGCTTTAATTTATCGCTGACTTGAGTTAAGAGAGATACACATATACCTATATATATACATATAATTAAGTATTAGTTCGTTCGGTTGTTTTTTTTCTGTTGTGATTGTTGTTATTAATTGCGCTTATATATTATACAATAATTCGAAGAGGAAAAGATCGAGGCGAAATGGCGAACGAGACGGAGATTCATGCCATCAAGAGGAAAGAGAATGGTCCCAATGGTATTGAAACACTCGCATTTTTTGTTGTTGTACATTCGTTGTTCGAATATCCAGATCTTTTGTTTGTTGTGTTTCTTCTTCTCTTTTTTTTTGTCTTCAGCTCTTTGGCCGTCTCCGTCGCTCCCGAACAATTGTCTCAACGCGCGACAATTGATCGAGCGACGAAGAAGGTGGTTCAATTGTTTCATGACACTCTGTTGCAGATAAATCAATGTAATTACAAAAGGGGAAAGAGAGAAAAAAAGAGAAAGAACGCAGCAGATAAAGGTGTTTTTCATTATTATTTTTGGTTTCTATTTTAAACTTTATTTCAAAAACTACATCGAAATCCAACAAAATTTTTCACGTATTCATTGCTTTTTTTTTTCGTATTTTGCGATAAGCAGGCCTCGTTGTACACGATGTTGGGGGGAATCTCGAATTCCCCCTTTTGCAAATAGGCTCTGATAATTGCATTTTGAATTTAAATTGACTGATTAAAGTTTGAATCTTTGTTCGGATCATCCTCAAATTCCATACCTTACCACTTGATTTGAAGGCACATGTGTGTGACCTTTTCGAAGGCACAGACTGATTATTGATTTACTCTTCACTCTTCTTTTTTTTATATGGTATATTATACCAATGTAACAATTTCATTTGCAAGTTGGAATGGTGAAGGTTATTCGAATATGTTTTCAGTTGTTTACTGCTCCACTCAATTTTATTTATATCTATTATGCTTCCATTTATTTATATTAATTGTATATACTTAACATTTACTTCTAATCAACTTTGTGTATGATTTATTAGTACTGTTTAATTCATGCATGGAATGTTATTGCCACAGTTGAAACTATGCTAAATGCTGCTACTAACATTGATTTTCAATCAAGATTATTACATTACATACGCATGCAGTATTTATATAGCTTTATAAAATAGTCAAATATTTAATCAAACCTAGTAAAATCAAATGAATCAAACTGAAACTTCCAATAAGAGTTGTCAACAATTAATTAAGAAATTTTCAGATCTTTTTGTTAAGAACATAAATTAAGAAATAAAAGTACATAATCGTCAAAATTTAATTCAAGTTAATTTTAAATAAATTTAATTATTTCCTTTAATATAAATCAAGAAATCTCATGAAAATAAGTCAAATTTGTCTTTTTCTAGTTGTCAACTATTATTTCTATCAAATTTACAGTAAATCATTGAATCTTATGATATTTTTGAGATCTTATTCAATAAATCATAAAATCCAATCAGATTGCAAACTTTAAACAAGTTTTGTCTATACAAATAATAACGAATTTTCATATAATTCCATTAATGAGAAATAGCTATAAAGAATTGTTATTTAATAGAAATCAAGTTCTTTTCAATATTTTATGAAAATGAATCAAATTTTAAATATCTTTGTTTAGTTGTCAACAGTTATTTTTATTGAATTAACAGAAAAATATATTTTCAGGACTTGTTATATATGAAATCAATTAGCAAACTTTGTAATTTTTTTGAAAGGCTGAAATGCTACATGGAGAAATAAACAATTAAAAGTATATTTTGAATAAAGATTTATATATAGGTTCAATCTAGTTGAAGGTATGGATTTTAAGGGTGAAACTGTCTCTTTTCTATATCAGAGATTCTCAACTTGTGAAAACAATAGAATGGAAAGAAATTAATTGTATACTGTCAGCTCTCAATTGCATAATCGCTGTACGTTAGGCGATTGTATGTCAATGGGACGATGAATACTCATGTAATGTATGTGTTTTTTTCGTATAAACATACCTTATGTTCATACGAACGTACATAAAAACATGTTATTCTTATTGGATTGGATTAATGTAAAGAATATTGATGAAGTTAAGAATCTCTGCTCTGTAGTTTTTCTGAGGCAGTATTTTGTGTATATATGATGATAATGATGTTCATGTGGACTAATATTATTTTGTCTGTGTGTTTCCTGTATTGGCATAGAGGATAGTGGCGGGAAACGAAAAAAGGTTGATCCTTTATCGAATGTTGGTGAAAGGAATCCCGTAGCGATATTAAATGAGTTGCGGGTGGGTTTAAAGTATGAGCTGGTGGAGCAGAGCGGCCCCTCGCACTCGCCCCAGTTCACGGTGTGCGTGGAGGTCGATGGGCAAAGGTATATGGGAGTGGGCAAGTCGAAGAAAATCGCTCGTTACCATGCGGCCGAAATGGCCCTCAAGTCGTTCATACAGTTTCCAAACAGTTGTAAAGTTATTTCCTCAATTGCGAACAATAACGTTAATATGGATTTTACTAGTGACAATTTTGAGGAAAACGGACTTAAGAGTGGCGGCATTGATATGTACAAGAAAGACACCACGAAGAACGCGTGCATGCTTCTCAACGAGCTCTTCCCCAGTGTTAAGTATATCTGCTCGGAGAACGATGATCCCTACGCCCGGTTCCGCGTTAAGGTTAATATTAAGGGCGAGGAGTTCTATGGTACAGGTGATTATTGCAACAAACCATTTAAATATTTAGTAAAGATATACACATACACACAAAAAAAAACAATAACAACAAACATCCGGAGATGGTCATCTCCGGACTCTGGTCTTTGATTGATGAACGCGCACCTGGTTTGTTTCTTTTCTGTTTCTGGAACGTTAGGCTCGAACAAGAAGATGGCCAAGAATGCGGCCGCCACTATGGCCCTCTCCAAATTGCTCAGCATCACACCAGTGTCCACGACGAACAGAGGTTCATGCAATTCCGAACAGCAGGAACTGGCGGATCGCATTGGAAGGTAACTATCACCCACTCAGATCCCCGCGCCCGTACACATGCGATGAACTATATATGATTGCCACATATACTGTGTTACATGTTATACACTATTTATGTTTACTATATTTCACAGTAGTTCTCTTCAACCCCCCTATATATATAATGGCCTCGAAAAATTTCTTCATCGGAAATCGCCGCTTTTTCAGATCATTTCTGGATTTCTGCATGGAAGAAATTTTTTGCGGCACAGCCAGCCAACTCTTGTTTACTTACATTGACTGTTAATTTGGTAAATATAATAGTGTACTGCTGTAACTTCCCTTCTCTTCTTCGACTACGATTGTAATTTCATTTTTAAATGTTTAAAAATTCATGTAAGTATGAATTTAAATATATTTATATATATATTTAGGATGAACTTTAGAATCGGGTATTATTCCATATACTCATAACAAATTTACAGTTTCAATTAATACCCTATTCTCAAGTTTCACCTATATTTGTTTCGTTTTATTATTTCAATTTTTTTATTTGCAATAATATTATATATTTTTTTTATATCACATATTTTGGTTTTGTTTTCGTTTTCGAACGACTCGTGTTTCGCGCGAATTAATGTATCTGTGATTCTAGAGCAGTGAATGAGAAATTCACGAGTGTCATGGCTAATGATTCTTCACATGCTAAAAGAAAGGTCTTAGCCGGCATTGTTATGACTCTTCCCAACGGCAATTTAGAAGTTATCACCGTATCTACCGGAACGAAGTGTGTTTCCGGTGAACATATCAGCATGCAGGGGTGCGTCCTGAACGACATGCACGCCGAAATCGTAGCCAGACGCGCCCTGGTTCACTTCTTCTACTGCCAACTAAATGCCATAAGTAAGTAGACATTCTACATACGCAGACGATACCAGTTGATGTTACTATCTGAATTGTATCATTTTGTTCAAGGCCAAGGTAAGCAATCGATATTCATGGAAAGGCCGGAAGGCACCGGTTACAAACTGAAAGAAGGCATCGATTTCCACTTGTATATAAACACGGCTCCTTGCGGCGATGCCCGGATCTTCAGTCCCCACGAAGAGGTGTGCATGGTGGGTAAAGACAGACATCCTAATAGGTCGAGCAGGGGTCAACTAAGGTCCAAAATCGAATCAGGCGAAGGAACGGTGCCCGTTAAAGGGGGTGTTCTTCAAACTTGGGATGGAGTTTTACAAGGGGAACGACTTTTAACCATGTCTTGTTCGGATAAAGTGGCAAGGTGGAATGTTTTAGGCGTTCAAGGTTCATTGCTGTCCCATTTTATTGAACCTATATATCTGTCATCAATTGTCTTGGGCAGCCTATTTCATCAAACACATTTATATAGGTCAGTATCTATACTTATATTTCAAGCCTCACCACTTTGCCATTCCCTCTATGTAAACGCATCGTTAAGCATCCTATCACACTAAACACATTTAAAATACTTTCATTTTGCATGCGAAAAAAATCCTATAAAGTTTACACACATTTATTACAACAAAATTATCTGAGTATACGGAATCTGAATAATTAATATAAATTTCATAGAAATTGAATTGTCTTCAATATTGTAAACACCTATGTTAAAAATACGTGTTTTTAAAAGTTTGAACGTTTGATAGTCCTTGAGGTATTATACAAAATCTGTATAGAACATTGTATAATATTTGTAAGTGAATCAATGTAATGCTGTGGTTTGCTTTGCAAACGGCGTTTATCGTGGAAGCATCTTCAGAGGGGTGCATACATAATAACGCCGTTCCCTGTTTCGGTGTGCAATAGCCTCGCATAACGAGAACCCCATTCAATGAATCTTGAATTCTGTTGAATGACAACAACCGGATTTTAGTCACCCTCCCGTGAATATTTGAAGTAAATCCGTTCGGTCAACGGCTATTTTAATATTCAATGATTTCACGTCACCAGTACGTAATATATTTAATAATACATGTGTAAAAATATAATTAGTTGAGAATTTCAACGTATTTTTTTTCTCTAAATTGGTTTCACAAAACTAATTATATAATTTCACACAACAAATTTATGTACTTTGTACTTTGAATTCCATTTTGAAAAGTATTTATTAATAAATTGTCAAATAAATATAAAATTTTACAATACCGTATTTTGTTGTTATCGATGTTATAAAAACGTTAAAGTTTTGATAATGCAAGAATATTTTTGGAAATTTGATGTCCTTGAAAATGTGGCTTCACAAAATATACTTAAAATATCCTATGTATTAATAGACTTAGCTAAGTGCACTATGGAACTTAAACTGTTTATCAAAAATAGATATAGAAATGGAATATGATTATGGAATATGAAATATTTTAAATTGATATGAGATTGAATAACAAAAGTAATAGATGTGTAAAATCTACTTGGTGCATTCTTTAATTATGAGGTACTTGCTAAGTATCTTGTACAAGTAAATATACTTTGCACATATACAAAACATGCACAGGCTTTGGTTTAAATAGAGTTATTGGTAAAGTGTGGTAATTTATAATTATTTTGTTAACTATACTGAATATTTCTTAAATTGGTGAGCTGTTGAAGACATTTTGTTTGTTTACTAAAGTTTAATTTGTTTGTTTTTAGAGCAATATGTGGAAGAGTTGAATCGACTTTGCAAGGCCTTCCACCCCCTTTCCGTTTGAATAGACCAAATATGAGTTTGGTGACATCTTTTGAAAGTAGACAACCAACGAAGGCTCCGAATTTCGCAGTGAATTGGTTAGGCCACCTGCCCGATGAAGGAGTCGAAGTGATAAACACGACGACCGGAAGACCTGAGAACGGGGTCGGCGTCTCGAGACTCTGTAAAAAGTTCATGCTGCAAAAGTTTTTAGAATTAAGTCAGCGATTATCAACAATCTCACCCATCAACATGAGCAGCGCCTTTTACAGCGACATCAAACACTCGATCACACCTTACCAGGTATTTGCCGTTCATTGATACATATTTCTTTCACTATATACATATATATATTTTTTTTTTGGTTTTATTATTGTCGTTGTTACTGTTGTTCTGTTTATCGTTTTTGGTTATTTTCTCTGTTTGCTTTGTTGGATTTGTTCAGTATGTTATGAGACTCTTTGCAGCTGGCAAAAACCCAACTATTCGATGCATTCCACAAAGCCGGATTGGGGAAATGGATCAAGAAGCCCATCGAGCAAGATCAGTTCGAATTTTAAGACAAAACATTTTCAAAAGCAAAATATTAATATTTAAATTATTTGTTTAACTTATTTGAAAAGTCGAAAAAAAAAATAATAAAAAAAGTGTTATATACATAAATGAAACTTATGAAGGAGTAATGAAATGCAATGAAGAAAAAAAAAGTATTAGGAATCAAATTTATGAATTGTTTAATATGTGCGTGTGTCTAGAAATATGATTTACTAAAAAAAATAAAATGAAAAGAAAATAGATATTTAAAAAATAAATTTAGAAACTCTGAGATTTTATTTTTTTTTATTTTGTTGTGTTCTTTTTGGGGTAACTTCTGGTAACTTCTTTGTTGGGTTGGTACCTATGTGGATATTGGTAGCAGCGCGACGTACTGGCGTCTTTAAAGCATTTTGACGTTGGGTCACATTTCGAGGTTAGTGCTTGAACATTGTGTTTGTGTTTATATATAAATAAACTAATAATATTTTGAAGCAAAAATGCTGTACTTGGAAGATTACTTGGAGAGTAAGTGGTTGGTATTAAAGTTAAGTACTGAATAATTTAATTTCCTTTTAGTGATTGAGCACTTGCCTCAAGAGCTCCGAGACAGGTTTACTGAAATGAGAGAGTTAGATCTGTCTGTGCATAGTAAGTACTCTTAATAATATATATAGTTATGGTGGGTTGATGATGCTAAAAATTGGGTCTTTTAAGATAATATGGATACGCTGGAGAAGCGTGTCAAAAGTTTATTTAGTGAATGCAAGCGGATGAACGATTCGACGCCGGCCACGAACAGCGAGTTTAAGGCGATTCATCAAGAGTATTACAAGGTCCTAGAAGATGCCGACGAGAAAGTGCATCTAGCCAACACAATGTATGATCTTGTGGACAAGTACCTGAGGCGGCTCGACACGGAGCTGCTCAAGTTCAAATGCGAACTGGAAGCCGACAATAAGGGGATTACCGAGTTATTAGAGAAGCGCTCATTCGACCTGGACACACCAATAGCTAGCGCTTCCTTGTCTTCACAGAAAGAGAATCGATACGAGAGGTATCGGCCGAGAGCTGAGAAGAGGCGAGACAGCGGTAATTCAATAAACGCATATGTTGAGAAAAGGCAAGCTGTTGGTAATAACGTACCAATAGTAGAAAGCAGACATACAGCAGCAAATAACAATTCAAATATGGTGATAGCTCAAAATTCTATAAACACTAACTCATCTGCACCTCAGTACAATTTGAATCACATCGGTGCTGGGCCTGCAATTGCTGCAGCTGCTTCGCAGGCGATAGCTGCAACCCAGCAGATGCAGCAAGGCAGGAGAACGGCAAGTTTGAAAGCTTCCTATGAAGCCATTCACACTAGGATGAATGTGAATGACTTTGTGGGCAGGGAATTAGCTGGGGCAGCACAGACCGCCATTCAGGCTATACAGCAGGATAGCAACAAAAAGAAACAAAAGAAATTCTCTACGGCTGGCAGCAGCTCTGCCATCCAGCAGCAAATCATAGCTACGCAGCAGCCCGTCGCTGTTCAGCCAACTGCCGCACCCGCAGTCGAAGTGCAAACTCAAGAGGTCACCGACGGCGAATGGACTTATGATCCTAACGAACCCAGATACTGTTTATGCAATCAAGTCTCTTATGGTGATATGGTTGCCTGTGATAACGAGGATTGCCCTTCCGAATGGTTCCATTATCCATGTGTGGATATAACGGCGCCTCCGAAAGGGAAATGGTACTGTCCACAGTGCACCATCACCATGAGGAGGAGGGGCGGCAGAAAGAATTGATTTTTACGACTGATTTTTTGTTGCTATTCCGATGCGGGCTGAAAGTAAATATTAATAACTGACAAAAAAAAATTGGACAAAACGAAAACGATACAAAAAAAATCTTCCTATTTATTTTTTTTACGCAATTCGGTTTATATATACATATATATATATATACATAAACATATACTTTTTTAGCATGTAAATTTAGTGTTTTAAACGTTGCGAATCCGCAACTTACCTAAATGTCGTATAGTGTATTAATATTAAATGAGGTAAGCTCTCGAGAATTAATTGTGTCAAAAGGGAGTCTCGTTTAAATGTGAACTTTGTAACCTTATAATTTTCTTCGCAATTTTATTTATACACAATTATGATAAGTTCGACATTTTGACTGTTACTACTACTACGAAATGTGGAGGCGATGACGAAAAAAAATATGAAAAAAGAAACATTTGCTTTTTGTATTAAATTAGTGAACAAATTAAGAATAATAGCATTTAACATTTATTAAGTGATAGAGCGTGATGTGTATAATCCGTTGTATTTGATTCATAAATAAGTGATGAGCTTTCAAAATTATTATATAAATTTATGCCATTTATTTCTATCTAAAGGTCGATTTAATAAACAGTTTTATGTATTCATAATCATCAGATTAAAGCAGTGCTAAATTCATCTGATAATAGTAGATTTCCTTTCAATTTTTAAAGGAATTGGATCATCTCCGTTTACATAATATAGGCAACTTTATTATCAGGAGGTTTGAGATTAACTTAATCTCTGAGCATTCAACATTTTATTATAATAATTCCAAAGCAATCACCAATAACAATAAGTAGATATTAAGAGTAATTAATAAATAATTTAATATTAATAACAGTTTTCATTTATTTAACATTTTTATGCAATGACCATTTTTTTTTTATTGAAATGAGGGTGATTTCATCTAACATCATTACAGACAATTATGCACATTAATCATTAGATAATTATAATCTTTTGATCTGCGTTATTGAAATTTCTAAAAGTTTGCTTGAAGCGTTTACATTATGATTGCACGATAATGATCATGCAATGCAATTGAAAGTGCAGTCAAAATCTAAAAAAATCCGAATCATTATGCTTTTATTCCTCTTCGTGAACAATTATGCCTAATCACAGTGAAAGTATTGCTGCTAATGAACAACAAGGCCCACACGGTGCGTGTTATATAACAGAAGTTTAATTAATCTCTGAAATGAAAGTGTTTCAGCGCATTTTCCAATGAGTTTGCACATTTTATCCTATTTTTTTGCGAATACGAAATGAAATATATTATCTGGGGCGAACGCATAATTATTATTAAACGATTTATTTTCGTGCTTCGATTGATTAAACGTTTATTGAAATAAGTCAATGCATGAGCAAGTTTGTTCTGATCATATTTTCACCGTTTGAAAATAATGTGAAAGTATTTGCATATCGGGCTTGTATCAGTCGCAAATCGGTCGATATTCATGAACGGTAGCAACTTTTTTTTTATTAAATTATGTCGTGCACCTCAAGCGACAATAAATTATTTTATAGATTCCAATAGACATGTTCAATTTTCTGAAGTTTGAGATATTGTGGAACGTTTTTCATTGTTATCATTATGTATTGATTTATTATACTAATGGGTATATAACAAAACTAATTGAGGTAAAACGGATGCTAATTATTAATTACTTCATCATTCAGTTCTCAGTTAAAGTGTATTAAGTAAGTAATATGAAATAGAGAACACCTCATAAGATATTCTGAAATTTTTAATTTTTTGCTACTAAACAAGAGGTATTTACATTTTCAAGCAATAAATAAAAATTAATTTAAAATAAAAAAAATAATTTATTGGCCAAACATCAATAGAAAAGAATTTTTTTTTTTACTTAAATTTCAAAATTAATTTCATTTATTTACAAGATAATATCAAATTAACTAAACTAATTTAATAATCTTTTATTTTAATATAAAAAAATATCTTAATTTTAATCTTCAACTTACAAAAGAGTAAATTAAGGAAAACAAAATCAGTTGAATTCTTGGAATAAAATTACTTAAATTAATAAATTTATACTTTTCAGAGATTTTCCAGTTAATTCAATGACATTAAGTTTATTTTAGTTTATATATATAGAAATCTATGTGCAATCATTCTCAAAAAATATACTTTAGTTATTTATAATTCAATACAATATTGTTTTTGAATGTTTTTTTTTTACAATTTAAGTTGCAAAATATTCCTACAAATAATATAGACTTTAATAAGAATGCAGCAATATCTCTTATAGTACGGATAAACGGTTTCGCACTGTATGAAACCGGACTAATCGGGGAACTTTAAAACCACATAAAATTAAACAGCATGTATATTTCATAAAGACAATTTTGTGTACGATTTTTCTCAATAAAAAAATAGTAAATTTTGAAAATTTCAAACCGTACTATAGTCAGATCGTATTGATCGCACCGCACTATACGAGGCATTGCTGTACTCTGGAATTGTTTACTGGATGGAAATGCATATAGTATTCGCAACTAAAATAGGACATTGGAAAAGTAAAAATGGAAAGTTAGTATTTATTGTTATTGGACATTTTCAACAAAAAACACTTATATTTATTGTCAATTTTAATGTTAAAACTACCTGACTTAAGAAATTTTCCTCAAAATTTGGGACACAATGGAAAAAGTTTGTTTCCTTATTTAAACTTTCTTATTTTTCTTCTATAAATGTGTCTTACCTAAATATACAGATATGGAAAATGAAGATTCATTTATAATAATTAAGTTTGCACAAATCGTCGATAAAATATTTCATATTAATGTGCATTGAATGTGCAAATCATGGATAAAATCATTATTTTTGTATTCATATTAAATTGAGTTTGTACAAAACCATGGTTTAAGTAGTTTTGTTATTAATTTGAACTAATAAACAATGATTTGATATCAACTTTCAAAAGCCGGAAGAGAAGTTTAATTGCTACAAAATTAATATTTATAAATGTCTTTCTTTGGAATAAAAGAAGAAAATTGGTTGGTTTCTAAACTCATTAATTTTGTCAAGTCAGCTTTTGAAACATGTTATTGCAAAAGTGACCATTCTCTGTAAGTTTAAAACACATGTAAAATGTACAAACACTAAAATGATTAGTATAAATGGATAATACGTCAAGGTACGTTAAACGTATTGCTGGAAATATACATAATATATAATTAATTGTAAACTAAATTGACGTGGAAAGATTAAGTGTTTTTCCGATCGAGGTTTATTTATTGTCCTCGTTTGATTCTCAACTGGTTGTCGACATCACTGGATTCGCTGCATTAACCCTATTCCAGTTTCAAGTATAAATATTGCATTTGCAGTGATTTTAACATAAGCCGAAAAAAAAAACAAGTATTTTATCGATTATTTGTGCAAACTCAATTGTAAATGCATTGGATATGAATCGAAAAAGAATTATTTTATCGACGATTTATGCAAACTATATTATTAGTGCATTTAATCTAAATAGAGAGAAAAAATATCGACAATTTGCGCAAACTTACTTTATTGATGAATTGCATATGAATCGAAAAATAATTATTTCATCGACGAATTGTGCAAAATTAATTGTTAGTGCATTTAATATAAATCGAGAAAAGAATATCTACGAAATATCTACGAAAAAGTATTATTTTATCAACGATTTATGCAAACTTAATTGTTGGAGCATTTAATTTAAATCGAAATAAAATTAAAGACTTACGCAAACTTACTTGTTTATTCATTGGATATAAATCTAAAAATAATTATTTTATGGACTATTTATGCAAACATTATTACTAGTGCATTTAAATCGAGTGAAGAAAAATATCAACGATTTGCCCAAACAATACATTGCATATGAATCGAAAAAGAATTATTTTATCAATGATGTATGTAAACTTAATTGTTTAGTGCATTTAATTTAAATCGAAAAAAATATCAGCGAGTTGCGCAAATTTGTTAATGCATTGTATATTTATTTAATCGACTATTTGTGCCAACTCAATTGTATGTGCAATTAATATATATCGAAAAAGAATTATTTTATTTGCACAAACTTATTGTTAGTGCATTTAATATAAAAATAATTATTTTATAGACGATTTGTACAAACTTTATTGTTAATTCATTTAATTTAAATTGAAAAGCAATAATTTTAGACGATTTGTGTAAACTTAATTGTTAGTGCATTCAATATGAATCCAAAAAACATTTATTTTATAGATGATTTGTACAAACTTAATTGTTAGTGCATTTAATATGAATGTAAAAAGAATTATATTATCGATGATTTGCGCAAACTATATTATTAATCCATTTAATGTAAATTGAAAAACAATCATTTAGACGATTTGTGCAAACTTCATTGTTAGTGCATTCAATATGAATCGATAAAACATTTATTTTATAGCTGATTTGTACAAACTTAATTTTTAATGCATAGAATATGAATAGATATAAAATAATTTTTTTGATGATTTGTGCAAACTCAATTTTTTTGTACATTTAATATTAATCGAAAAAGTAATTATAATATAGACGATATGTGCAAACTTAATTTTATATGTATTTAATATGAATCGTACAAGTATTATTTTGTAGACAATTTGTTCCAATTCAACTATTCGTGGATTTAATATGAATCAAAAAAAAATATCGGCCCTTTGTGCAAACTCAATTATTTAATATAAATCAAAGAGAATGATTTGATTTGATTTGCATAAACTTAATTGTTAATGTATTGGATAAAAATTGAAAAATAATAATTTTATGGATAATTTGTACAAATTCAATTGATCAAAATGATTAAAAAAGAATTATTTAATCAACGATTTGTGCAAACACAATTATTAATATGTATCTTAGAGAATGATTTGATTTGTGTAAACATAATCGTTTGTTTCCAGTGGAAGTAAAAGTAACGAAAGGATCAACAGCCTTTCAGCTAAAACGATTGTCTGACGGAAGCTGATCCAGTGGAAATCGCATGCATGGTCATCCGCTTTTCCTCGTCCAGGTTTTTCCCATCGCAAAGCCGGATTAATTATTTTTTATTGGTTTCTAC